TAGCTCTGTCTTGGCCTATAAAATCTCTTTACAAGAGATCCTGGTACATAAAAGAAAGAAGACAAACATTGTACAAACATCTTACAAAGAAACAGAAGAAGATACCTTAAGAATCTATAAATTCAATTTAAAAAATAATAATAATCCTTAGAATCATTGGCAGTAAGACACAGTAGCAATTTAAGTGAAGCAATATAGCTGCTGTTTCAGAATTCCTAGTTGGCACTGTGGTGCTCATTCAGAGCCAAAGCAGACACTGAGCATAATGAATCCTTAGCACCCCAGCAAGGTTTTCCCTTGCAGGGAGCAGATGCAGCTCTCACAGAACCTCTGTCACACAACTGCAGTGATCCATGACAGGCTAATGCCAGCAGCACTGCTTGGTGCATCACCTGTGCCCCTCAGTTCCCACGTACCGAGAGCAGCCATTCACATCCTCTCTAATGAGGCTACAGCTACAACCTGCAGAACAACAACCTGTGCTGCACGATGAACACTCAGAAGACCACGTGTTGTTTTTCTGTACTGTTTGCTTCTTATAGACAGGTGCAGTGTATTTATAGCACATCACCTATAGAGATTTAAGGGAAACAGTATTTGTTCAGGTGCCAAGCTGTAAATTGCTTTGCATATTCATTCCAACACTTGGGATGCAGCTGCTGATCTATTCAGAATCTCGTCAATGCAGTTTCTTCCATCAGTGTGATGGCTACTGGACTGCAGCCTATTTTTCCCCCAATGTCAGTTTATCCACTATGTACAGGCCTTATTACACTGGAAGAATTGGTCACAGTAGCACATCCTGTTCTCTAACAAACCAAGGATCACTACATAAGGTCCAGGCTCCAAAGTGCTGCATGCAAGGAGAAAAATTCCTATGAGTATACTAACATGAAAATAGGAAGAAAAATAGTGTAGCAAATATCAAAGAAATAAAATACATATAGAGAGCCTTCTTTATAAATCACATGTGGTTTATACTCCCTGTTACCCAGCTGAATGAAAGCTTTCCTTCCTATCAATAAAACGTTTACAAAATAATATACAAAAGTTTTATTATATGAACAAGAACCATATTTCTCAAACACTGCCGGATTTGAGTCCCAAGAGGCAACTCGACATTAATCATCTGTTCAACACTGTGTGTGTTTCAGACCCTCTCTTGCCAGTCCTTCCACTTCTGCTTTCCTGTATTTTTCGTTCCTAATACTGTGGTCTTCCACAAAATAATACCTTTTTTTTTCCTTTTTGGATATTATCACTTGTATAACTGACTTGCTACTAAATGGCTAAAGAAAAGTTTAAGGTTTTTTTCTGGTATCTGGATCTCTCTTTGCTTTTATTTGCAGGAGAACAGTGATAATAGTAACGGGTTGATCCCTCAGAAAGTCTTAAGATGATTGCTCACTCCTCAAACAAAACCAGTTTCATTAAGACATTAACTTTAAAAGCTACTGAAACCAGGACTATAGTTACAGATATGTGCAGGACTGAGTTGTGGAAAGTGAAACTGATCACATAAAGGCTACAATAAAACTGGAGGACAAAAAGTACAAATATGTTGGCTATTAAATTTAAAATGTGGAGGATGAGGAGAAACTAAAAAATTATAAACTCTAAAAAATAAAAAAATCCCCTTACGTTCAGTAGTTAGAACTTCAGACAAATAGCATTACTTTTTAGAAAAAAGCTTTTTCAAACTTACTCTGACCTTTGAACCATCAATTTGTGAAGTAATTCTGCAGCAAGAGTAGCAGCAATGTACAATCCTAAGTAGTTTTAAGATGCCTGGAAGAGTTACAAGAGCATTTAAACAACAGCATGCTAAATAAATCAACTGAGAAGACTCAAAAACGTTTCTTTTGGTCCAATGAAGCTGTCTTAGGTTTCAGGTAAGTTTTGTCCCAGCCTTATACGGAAGTAACTGGAAGTATAAAGTCCTTCCTACCGAAGAGGGATGCATAACCACAGACCAGAAGACCTGCGAACCATTAATTAAACTAGTAAGAAGGAACACTTGGACAGGCCTACAAATTAGTTTTAACACACTATAAATATATATAAGCAACGAATTTAGAAGGACTGTATTATGAGGAGGTCTTCTTGCTAGCTTTTTCAAGTTGAATAGAATTATCACTTAAAAAGAAGTGTAAAGTTTCCAGACACAATTTAAGCAGGGACTAGAATCTCTTAACTCATTTTTTTGAGATGCAAGACTCAGCACGTTCTTCCAAATTCTGAGATGGTTGCACAGCTCTCCATAGCAACCCAGGATACAAGAGCCCTGCAGTCACTGGCAAGAATCTAACAGGAGCACCACATTAGGCTGAAAAAACTTCTAAAGCACAAGAAAGGCCACGGCTCTAAGGTGGGGTAAAATTTGTGTCTTTGCAATCAGGACAATAAAGGGATAGAGAGCAATTTCTGATATATTATGCTCCTCCATTTAAAAAGTGAAAAACCAATACAAGTGCAAGAACTACTCTTGCAAAATCTACAGTCTGGTAGATAAACGAGCCCAGGTCTGGTCAAATCCGAGTTTAGCTATGCCACAACACAATGCCTAACTCAACCTCTCGAACGAGACTTTAGAACTTGTTCCCTGTATGCCTCACTCCCCGCATTATGCTTGCAGGTCCTTTGGTTCCGCTTCTATAATCAGCCTGTTTCACTCCCGCCCTTACACTTTTACTTTATTTATCCATCTCGTTAGCACAACGCAAGTGCCCAAAGCACAGCCCTGCTGGTCCCGGCGCCCTTCAGAGCCGCCAGGGCGATCGTGGCACACAACCCACCCCGGCGGGCACGGGCACCTCCTGCCTTTGTTCCGAAGGGCCAAAGCGCCAAGGGCGCTCGCCGGGATCCGGCACAAGGCACCGGGCTCGCACCGCACCGCCCGGAGCGGGCCGCACCGCACCGCACCGCACCGCCGCTTTACCCGCCAGCACACCGCGCCGTTGGGGCCGCGCTCAGAGCCCCCGTGCTGGCACCCAGCGCTCCTCGCCGCGCCCCCCGGCGCACCGCTCACCTGTGTGCGGGCCGGCCGGGCTCCGAGGGGCCGCCGGGGGCGCTCCGAGGGGCCGGCGCTGTGCGAGCCAGGCCGGCGCGGCCGAGCGGGGCTGTGAGGGGCGGCGGGCCCCGCCCGCCCACGCGCAGCCGCTCCTCGAACCCGCCAATCGCAGCCCCGCGCGCCCGGCCCCGGGGGCGGGGCCTCCAACGGCCGGCGCGGCCGCATCATCCGCACGGACCAATGGCGAGCGGGGGGCGGGGCCGGGCCGGGGGGCGGGGCCGCAGCTCCCAGGCTCCGCCCGGCCCCGAGCGGCAGCGGCCGCGCTGCTGCAGCGGCTCCCATGGGAAAGCGAAGGAGCGCGTTCGCCTCTGCCGCCCCGAGCGACTGCACATAAGGTGAAGCAATGCAGCTCATGGTGCTGAGCTCCTATTTAATAACATTTTATCTGGTGCACGGGGACGAGAAATAACCTGGGAAAAAAGTTCGTGATATTTCTTAGAGCATTAGCTAAAGAAACGCTTTAGAGTGGTGAGAGGAATGGGGAGAAAGGGTTGGGAGATTTATTTGTGCTTTTCCAGCCTGAGGTTGAACTTTAGTACCACTCGTGGCTCTGTTACTAAGTTTTTCTGTCTTTACCACTACAGCGGGATTAATGAGCAAGGGCAGGTAGCTGGCAGCAGCTGCTGTTCCCCTGCTTTTGTCATGTGTGTCTTATTTTCTCCAGCAGTTAATGCAGACTTACACTAGTGCAAATGGGGAAGTATCCATACCAGTACGATTGTTCTAAAAATGCTACAGCAGGGAGATAATTAAATATTAATTATATAGATAACTAGGTATTATTGTCATGTATATTTGAGTATAAAATAACTATTAATCATACATTCCAGATTTTGATCCATGCAATAATAAAAGCTCTGTCCACAACTGGCAAAGCAATGGCATTGATATTCTACATAAACAGGATATGGAAACTACAAAAAAGTGCAGACTGTCAGACTGGATGAAAGCCCAAATGAATAATTCATTTTCAGATGCATTAGCCTGTAGCACAGATGCAACTGAAGAGGAAGATTACTTCGTTTATGATGGAGATGTAGGAATAAGTTGTAAATACAACAATAATTCGGATAATTTGAATGCCTGTAGTTGTACAAAAGATGTTTCTGGTATTTTAAACTTAGCCTGTTCTGAAGATAACAAAAACATAAAAGCAGCAGCCAATTATGAACCTCCTCTACAGCCTGAAGAATTCTCCAGTCATCACAGAGGCACCAGAGGAACACCTGGAGTTCCAATTGAAATGCCTGGAAGTGAAGCTTCCTTTAAGAAGGAATTAGCTGTTGGTAGTTCCAGTAAAGCAGACAGCAAAGACCATGTAAAAGAACATATAACTACCTCCAAGATGTCCAATGTCCTCCTGCGTCATTTTTCTAGGGGAGAATTACTAAGCACATGCCACTTCATTGAATGTGAGACAATACCAGAGGTGTCCTTTACTGAAAGTATCGATGACACTGGGAGCAAACCTGAGCCTTCAGAACACAGCAAAGGCCCTTTAGTGCATGAACAATGGGCAACGAGCTCCGAGGAGCATCCCTCCGAAAAGCACAAAGAAATAAAGGCTCGTGACAGAAATGGAAACTCATTAAATGAAAATAGACCTTTTTCAAATAAACCTATTTTGTGTTCTTGTCAGTGTGGGCACCGACAAGAATATTTGCAATTGATCAATGAGGCTGGAGATACACACACCTTTCAAACCATGAAAGGTGAGAGAGCCCTGTTCAAGAGAACAGTTTCACCTTGTGAGCTCAAATTTGGCCAAGGGCAAGCTCACTACTGCCGTCCTGACTTCTCTGAAGCTGCTTCAGAAGTTAAAGTACCAAAAAAACCTGATAATATTACAGTTCCTTCAACTGAGAGAGCAAAACACTTTCCTATTTTGCTAAGTAACTCAGTAATGGTGAAAAACATTTTGGAAAATAAGAATTACTTAAATTCTGCTGAAGTAGAGAATCAAGAAGAAAGGAGTATTTCAGAACTGCTGCAACAGCTACAGGTAATTAGGATGCTTGAAGAAATTCTTCATACTGGGTAAGAGTGCTTTATTGTAAAAAGATATTCTGTATCCCATAAAATCTAACATGACTAGCTCTATAGGCACTCTGCAGCTATCAGTGAATACATCACTTGACTCAAAAACTGCTTTCAAAAATAAAGTTCTGTGCAACTGACTTGATACAGAACTGTCATTACCAATTATTTAAAGGCTGAGTATTGTTTAATATTCCAGTATTTAACACTGGAGCATTGTTAGTGATGATAAAGCATCCTATCAAATCATTAGGAAATCCACTATAAATTGTTATTTCTAGTGTTATATTAAAATGTTTAAATTTACCAAAAAATAAGCTCAAATATATTTTTAAGAACAATGTTCTATTTTTATACTGTGCACACGTAAAGACATCTTTGCCTTTTTTCACATCTAACACTCTTCAACTACTGAGACTGGTAATTATTGACAAGTCAATTCTTTCTAAAGGATTTTTTCAACATTTCCATTACTGTAGTGAATTTATTTTAAAGCTTGTTAGTAATTAGTTAACTGCTGCTCAATTTCATGCCCTGACATGAAGCTCACTCACTGAGCTTTACAGATTCTTAATTCCATTCCTGGATTTACATCTTAGGAAATTGCTTGAGACATAAGAAGTTTTAACAGTATTCCCTATTATTTCCTGGCTGCAAATGAGATGCTGACACAGCATGCTGATGTCCAGAATCATATTGACCATCTGAGATTTAATCCTAAGGTAAATCTCTCAAAATACATTTTTTTATAGTCATTCTTCTTTACCTCTAGGACTATGACTATCCCCTAAAACTATTTTGTCACCTTCATATTGTATTTCCCATTTATAGAAATCCTCTATATTTCACAATATATATCCCTCTACATAAATATACCTCTATATTTTCACGATATATCACAACAGAGAGCAGTAGTAGTTTAAATATTTATATGGGACACTTCACACATCTGTCAACTCAGAAAACTGGCACTGGCACAACATTTCGTTACTATTTTGTATTTTGAGTTAAAGTTTTTTTGCCCAAGTCCATAAGTGTTCTATACATTTTGTCTATAATGAAGGCTCTCATTTTAACAGGTAATTCCTCAGCTGGACTCTGCAAATGCCAGCATTGCCATTTCCTCAGGACACACTGGGACACCACCTGATGTCATCACATTACGTGCTCCTGTCCCTGTACAACCTACACATGGTTTGCTTAAAGCAAGTAAATAAAATTACAGTAACTATGCAAATGACTATTTAATGCAATTTAATTAACTTTTGGGCCGAAATTGCAATTGATCAACCTTACCTTGTACTCCATAGGACTGCAGCCTGCAACAGCAGCATCAGCACTACCAGCAGCTGGGACAAGAGAAGCACAGTGTCTAAATCCTTCTGATTCACTGCCACAATTAACACTAGGAGAAAAGATGTCTCAAATACTACAGGATCAGACAGAGCAACTGACTAAGAAAGTAAGAGCTCTGTTTCAACATATACTTTGCACTGATCCTCAAACTCCATACTCACTTGGCAAATTTGTTTCAATCATACTCACTTGGCAAATTTGTTTCAATATAATACAAGTCTAATATTTTGTCTTGAAGGTGGAAGACTTCTCTAAGCATATGATCCAGGAAACCATCTTTTTACAAGACAAATACCTGGTAAATTAATTTATGTATTTTGAGCTATGTGAAATGTACTTGAAATGGCTGTAGACTTACAATTCTCTGGCAAGATTATTGATGTTTACCTCAAATGGATGTTTACTCAATTCAGACTGAAGATATGAGATTAGAAAGCAGAAATGAAGGTGTTTAGTAGGTGGACAAATTCTTAAATCTTTTATGGATTCTGACTTAAAACTATTAATAAAAGGCCTGAAGTTACCAGGTAAGTTGGGAATTTTAACATGTGGGGCATCAGTTCAGAAATATTTTTTATTATTTTACTTGGACATAATAGAGCAGCACAGAGTGTTAGGTGAATATACAATATGCAGTCCTGTTTCAATTTAGAGAACTACCAAAATTCTTACCAACAGCACTGCAAATAACATCTGGCTTACATAGCAAGACATCGTGATAGCTACTTATGCTGAATTATCATGACATTTTGTATTGAATTATTTCTTATTGATGAAGGCATTAAATCAACTGAAAAGATACCTTGATGCCTTGGAAAGAAATTATTTAAAAGCTAGAGAAGAGCATCACAACTTACAGCTGCAGAACTACAAGGACAAGCCTGTCAACCTTGGAGAGTTTGATCCTGAGAGGTTAGCAGAGAAGTGCTAAGTAGTACATCAGTATATTCTCTTTGACTGTCTTACAGCTTTTACTTCATTTATCCATTAGAATTTTCTTGAAGTGAAAATATTCTCTTAATGTGGTAAACTAAAAGTTGTGTGGCAGAAATTCACCTTGGGCTTTCTATATCCTACTCGTAATTTGGATGTCTATTTGATTATTTCAAATATTTAAAAGGTACTCTGTCAACTCTATACATTTTTTCCTATGGGAAATGTACTGCAATGTCCACTATGGTTATCATGGTAAGAAATAAAAGATGAGTTGAGAGAGTTTTAAGTAACTGTGGGTTGTGATTGCATTTAGAAGGGTGGAAGGAGGAATATTCAGACTTGGCATGCTGCTTGAAGACATTCAAGAACAAATTGATGGCAGCAAGGGCAGCCTGTCATCGTTACTGACGTCCCATGAATCGGCCCAGTCTTTCTGTGAGGTAACTGACTTCTATTAAAGACTACAATTATTCTGTTTTATTGATGCAACTCTTGAAAACCTAAGTGCACTTGTGTGATTTATGTTCTCCTCTAGTAAGAGCATGATGCTTTTAGATAGCATGTTACTTCAAAAGAAAATATTTTTAATGAAATACTAACTTCCTAGTATGTAATTAACTGTAACAGAAACGTAAGTATAAAAACACAACTATACTGAATGTTCTTAGTTACAGTTTCAAAAGCATTTATTTCGTAGTGAGAAAATACACGTAGCTAATTTAGCTTCTCCAAAGCTGTTTTGGGGAATTAATCACTATCATTTTGTGGGAGGAAAAATTACTTTGACCAAGATTACTTTGTCCAAGATCTTAAGCTGCAGTATTACTAAAAGACCCAAAAGTATTGTACTATCAAATCTCTTAATAATAAATATTTTAGGTAACTTGGGCTTGAGAGAAAAATGGTAAGAGAACTGAAGAGATGCTGTTTGGTGGGAGTCATTCCTTGCAATGCAAGGCCCAGGTACATCTGTGTCTATGCTTTGTTACTTTGTACAGAGCTCGGCAGTTCCAAGCACTGCTGATCTTTCACAAAGAAGAGGTTCTAAAGCTCCATTTCTTCACAAGAACCATGAGGGAGAAAGAAGTCAGACAACTGATGTATTCCCACCAACAAATCAACTTTCTTCAGAAGGCAAAAAATGCAATCTTTGTCTTCACATGTAAGTGAAAACTTGGAAACAGCTGTTCAAGTTTTTATAAAAACATAGATAAAATTAATTGCTGAATAAGAAAATTTGGATGACTGAAATCTCTGAAAATAACATATATTTCCAGAATAAAAATTCTACAGAATTCTATAATGACATATTCAAGAATTCCTCTTAGCCTGGTTTTCCTACCTTTCTCAGTATGAAAGTATTTCCTGAAGCCAAAACACCACTTTCATCTAGGAATTAAATCATACTTCTGTATAAAATTCACAACAGCCACACAAATTCAGGGTGTGAATAACTAGTCAGAGTACAGTGCCAGTAAAAGATAATTTGGCAATATTTGTGTGGTATTTTTAATTAAACAAGAAAAGGGAGGGATGCAGATACTTATTAATGATCAAAACTTTGAGAGTGAAAACTCTCAATACCATTTCCATCCTTCTGGGAAGCATTTTATAGGTATTAAACATCTCAATGAGATTAGAAAAATAAAATAAATGGTCTCCCTCTATCCAATCTAAGGCTAAAAAAAGAGAACTGAACTAAGTTCCAGTAAAGAAGCAGAGCTTCTGGGAAAAGAATGCATGCAGCAGAGAACACAATCATATTAACCTAATTCTCTCAGATTATTTTACAGGGTAGATGTTAATAGTTGTGTAGTAAAACTCACCTAGCTTCCACTTTTTTCTCTGCATTGAAAGAATATTAGTTTAATCTCCTGATCATTACGCTCATAAATGGGCAAAAAATTTTCCCAATAAACTTGGAGATGCTGTACACCCAAAGTTAAAAATACACTCAAACAAGAAACCTTGTTCTTGTTCCCTCAGAAGGTACATCTCAAATATTTCTCTAATTATCTAAAGGCATTAAATTAAAGCCTAAAAACCAGCTCAAAGTTACTAAGAAACCGAATCATATTTAAGGTATGTTGTATCAAAACACTATCAGTGGTAACAGATGTATCTGAGATTTCATACTACTTTACTATTCCAATACAGGATTATAAAGATCTCTACTTTTAAAAAATTTTAACAGCTGTGGGAAGTCAGGGTGCTTTTGTGAGAATATGTCCTTTAACTAAAGAGTTAATTATTTTTTAACTGGTTAACTACTAATTTAAACTTCTGCTTACCACCTTTTCAGATAACTGATAAAGTTCTTCCTGTGAATAAATCTCATTTCTTCTCAATTAAGAAGTAATCACTAGTATAAAAGATGTTTATAAGTCTCATCATAGAAATATTAAAATACAATTGAAATATTCTGTTTCCATTCTCTAAGAAATACAAACATCCAGGAAGGAAAAACTGGAACGTCTCCACTCTTCGTGCAGAGAAAACCAACTGATTTATCAGATACCAACCTGAGTAAGTCATGAGGGCATACAAAGGTCAGAACTGTGCTTAAACCTGCCAGAGAATCCTGTGCAGAAATACATTCCTTTTATGTCTCAACATGAAAATTGTAGTTTTAACGGATGTTACTGCTTAAAGCACAAATCACTAAGAATAAAAAGGAAACTAAAAAGAACACCAGGTCAAATTCACTGTGGAAATCTCAGTGACAGTCCAAGAGGCAACAGACAGGTTGCAATGCAATTTTCACTTAGACATGAATGAAAGATGTGTAATTTGGTCAAACATTGAAACAGTTTGCTCTAGGCAAGCTGTGGCATCTCCATTCTCAGAGATATTCAGAACTCAACTGGACAGGTTCTAAGCAACTTCTTTAAGTTGGGCCTGCTTTCAGAGGGGACAGAATCAGATGACGTCCAGAAGTCTTGTCCAACCTGAATTACTCTATAAACCTTATTCAGCTTTCCAGATACGTTTCCAAATATTGCCACTGCTAACATTTTCAAGAGCATGACAGTGATGTGCACACAATGCTTTGATTTTGCTTTTTCTTCTGATGTGCACTCATTTCACATCCTAGAAGATGATTCCAAGCTTGACAACTGAGACACTTCATATCAGTACTTCCACTTTCAGCTTTTGGATTCAACTTCGTTATTCTGCTTCAAAACAAATCTACCTTTCCACTGCAGAATAGTCTGAAACTTTTAGTAACATTCAGTTTTAAGTCTGAACATACAGGTTTTCTTACCTTTTGTCTATCAGTTGTCCTTGACCTTTCTGTGATATCCTTTTAATTTAATATAAATACACACTGGGATTATTGTTTGTACTGGTTGCTGCTCAAGTTCTCATCCCATTCCCATTACCCTGCACCGTTTCCATAACACTACAGGCAGGGAGATGGAGAACTTCATTTAAAAAAAACAAAACAACAATTCTTGGTCTGAAAATAAGCACCACCAGAAAAATACATTCAAAGTTTGCAGACAGGGCTGAAAGCTAATCTTGAATTCAATCCCCACTCTTCTGGGGGTGAAAAGTTCTCCCTCATATTACAGGAGCATTATTGGCAGCAAAATGGCATGAAATTATAGTGCTGAAAGCCAAATAATTACCTGAGTATATTAGTCAAAACTTCTCATATTTCAGACCCTTCTAACTTATTTTTTTGAATTTTAGGCAGCGATTCAGAAGACTTCTCAGCCTGTTATTCTTGTAATGATTCACTAAGCAAGGACTTTGTCAGCTGTGACACTCTAAGTTACAAATCATTAAATACAAGATTATGTGGAGAGAGAAAAGGTACAGTGATTGTAAAAATATGAACATCTACAAGGAAACACTGCTTACAGTTTTCTTTATCTAAACCACATGTCTCTGTTTCCAGGACTTAGATGCAGATGCCCTAGGGGAAGCAGAGATCAAGTAAAACTCAGGAATTACAAAGAGTCTGTTCAGTCTTGTCCCCTGTGTAGAAAAAGCAGCTCTGGTTCATCCTGTAAGTATGATGTGTAATTAACAACAGCTTTTAAGGGGCAGAAAGCCACACTGTACATAGCAGGCATTTATACATTTAATTTACTATAAGCAATCATTAGCACTGTAAATTCAATTTTTACACAACTGGTCAAGTTTAATCTCCATACACAACAGATTTAACTTTTCCTAGTTCTTTATGAGACGAATCCCTTTCATATTTCGTTTATGGCAGGAATATCTCATTTTGCAGAGCTACATGAAAGGATATGAAAATTAGGCATTACTATGCCAACTTTTATAGTGTCAGCCATTACATAACATAGTATAAACAAAAGAAAATTCCAGCTCTACCCTCATATTGTGTGACATGAAGCAAAGTCAAGGAGAGCTTAATTTAAAAAAATTAAACGTTGATCATCTGAACATGTACCATTTAAAGTCACTTAGACTCTCTAGCATAGGAAAAATAGAAAATTTCATCTAGAAGAAAGTATAAATTAGCTATTTGTCTCTAGCAATCCTGTGAAACTACAAATCAAAGTAGTATTCATGTCTTTATTAGGATTATGACACTTATTATTCTACATTCCCCACTGCAGTCTTTCACTGTATGAAGTTGAATATAAATATGCATTCCATTTGCCAACTAAACAAGAGCAAACACAAAAAGGTTAATCTATCCTCATTTACAAAAAACTTCAAACATATTCAAGTTTTATTCAGCAGTGATACTTGATCTTTAATTTATGTTAAAGAGAAAACAAATGTTAAAATACAGAGAAAATAATGGGTTTTTTTGTTTTAAACGTGGCCTCAACAACTCCAGCTTATTCACAGAAGAGAATCTCCACTCAAAAGGCTCAAAAAACTGAACAGCCAGGTGAAGTTGTAACCAGACTTCATGAAAGGTAAGCTGTAGCAATAACTATCTAGTGCAACAAAAAACCCCATTGGTGAAGATTCAGCGTGGAAAAAAGCACCAGGTATCAGAAGCAGGAAGAATGTTTTATCTTTTGCAGTGCATGTTGTATATTAGAATTTCACTCTTTAGTGAAATTAAACGTTTACTCTAAGAACATGTGTAAACAATTTAGATTAGTTCTTCACTCCTAATTTAATAAAGAGTAAAAATGTAACATCTTTAGCTGACACATTTAGTAATGAAAAAAAATTTTCACTTTAAGAGGATGTTCCCATTCAAAGATTCAAATGCAGGCCTGTATTATTAGGATGCAGCTCTGTTTGCTACCAACTATTTCTCTGTAAGTAACAATCCTGCTTTTAATTGTTGCTAACATTAAATTACACCACGAGACAGAAATAAAATGGATTCCTAACAGTAACACAGACTAGGCTGAAAGGCAAACAAGTTTTGTCACACATTTTTGACAGCTTTACTCAATAGCAGTAATTGCTTGGAAGTACAGCAGCTGCACTTGAGAATCAATGGCATAGAACACTGTGAGAGAAAGTTACAGCAGCAGCAGAGTGCTGCTATTATGAGAAATTTCCTTACTTTGCATCCTAGAACATTTTCTGTCTTATTGCAATGCAGATAGAACACAAATAATGATGGACTGTGCTTTACAATTCAATGGAAAATTCTACTCACCGTAAAATTAACTTGCAACTGAGTGCTATCAAGGGCTAAGTATGTGATTCATAGTTTAGAAGTTCTTTTTCTTACTTGAATTGTATTTTATTCTATGTATCTTATCTTTAGGAAATCCTCTGAGGCTGCCAAAACCTGCTGTTCAAGCACATATGATAAAATAATCCTTTCACATCAATACATACCCAGCAAGAAATCTGCCCAAAGAAAATCTGCAGTCAACATCAGAGACAGAAATGCCAATGATTCCTGTACAAACGTAAGACTTTGGAGTGAAAATTAAAAGCCACACAACTTTGTTGAAAGGATTACCTCCCTATATCATGGCAAGTTTAGAACATCCCATTTTTAGCAAGCTGATTACTACAACCTAAGCAAGTGTAGTCCATTTGAGGATAAGACAAAAGGGAGTTAAAACCCCAAGCATTTTGGCTTATGTGTTAATGTATTTCTTCATACAGGTATGTACAGGCTTATTGTGCAACTTAGTCCCTGTATAAATGGTGAAATAGACCAAAAATAGCATTGGATCTTACATCTAGAGTTGTGTTTCATATACTGAAACAAAGCCTAGCTAGACAAACCACTATCAAAACCTCAATGAAGCCTTCTCAGTACCAAAAACATGCAGCACTCTGGAGCTGATATATTAGAAAGGTGTAAATGTCCCTCAGTTCAAATGAATACAGTCAATGAGAGAAATAATGAACTTCCAACTTGAATCCTAGAGCAGTCTATCACGACTCAACTTTTACTTCTCACCATGTATTCAGAGTGAAAATCATGGACAAAACCTTAAACATCACCTTTTTCCAGTACCTATGTATACATTTGCCTTCACTTTTAATAAGGGTACATTTTATTATTTCCAACAGATTTTAAGTTCTACTCTGGATCATGCCATAGAGACAGCAAACAGTTTGAAGAAAACCACAGAGCGAATGGTACAAGCTGTTTCAGAAGATCTAGCTAAAGTTAAAAGAAAAGAGTTTTAATTGCCTACTTTTCAAATGCTATATTGTTCTGCTGGTTCATACTGAAATGTTAGTATCTTTGCAAAAATAAAATTATAAACACAAACATGGAAAAGTCACCTAGCTAACTTTGTCAGCTGGTCTCTATCTACTTGTACTAAACCAAACTAGAGCATACAGGCATTCCATATTTACACTCAGAGCTGTAAAACAAATTATTAATTCTACTGAAAGTCTTTAGTAGGTTGGCTAATCCCATTACTGTGTACAGATACCTTCCCTAAGTATTCACTTAAGACAGCTTAATAAGAATTGGCTCAAACAAGCAAAATTAACTTTCTGACTTGGATTTCCCCCCACTCCCAAGTGTGAGAATAAACCTCAGTCATTACTATGTATCATTTCTTCTCACACTTCAACAGCAGCTGCTTAATCACACCAAGAGAAAACAGCCTCTGTACATGAGACATCTAGGAGCAAACTCAAGATAACATACCAAGTCATAGTCAACATTTGGAATTACTTTGGTTTTAGAGTGCCCTACATTGAGAGTTGTTTGTTTTTAAGAAACATCCTTGTACGTTGCAATGACTGAATGACACCATTTGTTGTCTATGTATTTGTAATGATTAAATTGGTTCCTTCAATGTGATGTTCTTAATTTGTCAGATAGATCTGGCTTTGACATTTTAGCTGATGGGAAGTAGGTTGGAAAATTTTAAAATACTGTAGAAATTCGGTGAGCCAAGAAAAGTCATCTATTATTTTCTAACATCCATTTAACTGCAGTGATTAAAGCAGTTTAATGCTGCCTTGTTTTATCAGGGATGCTACTCACTGAAGCCAAAGTACATAAGGACTGATGAAAACCAAATTAGAAATGCCAATGCATTCCTTAAAAAGGACAGTCATTTTCAGGCAAATTTCATCAGTGGTGGATACAGAAATAATCCAGACTGTTGATACAAACAGTGATTGCTAAATTCACTCATGTGCCACTTACTCACTAGCCTGAGTCAATGGCTTTTTCAGGGCTCCTTCCACCCTTCACAGCCAACAATACCATTCAACTCTTTTCCTCCTTATCCTCTTACTGTATATCCTTATAACTTCATTTGCCTCCCTTTATTATCCCTGGTTTTGCTTTATTTAGTTTCATGTTTGGAATGTCCTCATTATTTGCAGATGAACTTAATAAATGAAGGAATTGCTGTAGCTTCCTAGATGCAATTAAAAAAAAAGAATTTCATCTCTTTCACAGAAATCTCTCCACACTACAAGAACAGCTTGTTCTAAACCTTTTGTTTATCCTGGATCTCTGCACCTGCTGTCCTGTGCCTGACAGCAACTGCCTAAGAAAGATCAGACTGAACAGGACAGTCACATAGTGGCATTTCCTCAGAACATTCTCTGGCAAATGGAAAGCCCAGAATCCTTCCAAACCAGCAGTAACATGTATACTTATTAGCCCTATAAATACTTAGGTTGAGGATTTTTCCCCCATATAACACTTTAGAGCATGTCATTACTGCAGGACATCTCAGAAACTAAAGGTCCTTTTGTTGTGATTTGACAGCTGCAGGTTTCATGTGCTACTTCACACACTGAAAAGGAAGATAACTCTTCAGTCTGAACACTAACAGGATTTTTGAGGCTTCTATCACACACTTCACAATCATCTTTTTTCCCCTTGATCAAGGAACCTAGTCTAGATATTCTTGATATGAAGATGGTTCCATACCTTTGATTTTTCTTAGTAATTTCTGAATCTTGTCCAGATTTCCAGATTCAACTTTAAAAATCAGTTGCTGGGCCCACATGTAGCATTAGGTAAGTATTTCAATATGCATAACATGAAAATACGAACTTTCAAAATTTTACCTTGTACATGTACTCTGAAACACTACGTTTTTGTTTATCCTGACAGAACTCTTTCACATTCTTGATAATATGATTATTGATCTAGAAAAAATGCAACAGAGAAGATCCAAATAGCTTTAATATAACGTCCCTTCATAAGCCATTTTGAGCTACATATTGATGCCAGACTTCCTAACATAGAGCATCTTTATTATTCCACCTTTACAGTAACATTTGGCTTTGCTTTGCCTGATGGAAAAAGTGGATAAGGGATACAAAAAACACAGACTAAGAAACAGACTAAGACTTTTGAGTTATCAGCTATCAGGCTGAGCTGGTGAGAGCACTTAGGCCAGAAGCAGAGACATGGAAAAAGACAACTCCTAAATATACAGAAGTAATCCAGAATTGTGAGCTGGTACTTCTTCAACTATAAGCAATTAAAAAAAATATCAACACAATGGATTTTATATACTACTGAAATCAATTATTTCAGTCCTTAAGTGTAACACTGATATCAGCTATTTTCTTCTGTACTTAACTACTTTCCAGCTTTAGGAATAGGAAAAAAAAAATTGCACCTACATATAGCTGTTACAACAAACTTGGGTTCTTCTTGCCAAAGGTATAAAAAAATATATATAATTTTAGTGCAATTTTTCAGTACCAATTTCAAAAGTGTGCATCTTTAGTAAGAAAACATTGAACACAGCATTTCTTAGATAAGTAATTTTACTCTGGATTTTTACTGTGATAGAGTTATAAACTAGAATCCACAAAAACAACACATTTTTTTTAAGGTTGTGATGTACATGGTATTTGATGAACTGGTTGATTTAAGAGTGTTGTTCTGTAGTCCTATTGAAAAAAAAAGTCAGTGTAGATTCAATTCCAAAGTCATTTAGGTGCATTTGAAAGCTACAGCCACTTATTCTCATCACACCCCATGTGATCACATTTAAGAATCATGATGTCATGTTCTCCTCTTTCATTTCTCTCTGATGTAGGGGAAGTTGACCTTTTTCTACCTTCTAATTAACTCTGAATGAACTCATCTAAAAAACTGTTCTCTTAAAGTACTGGTTAACTGAGAGCAAAAATAAAGGGAAAAAAACAAAATCACAAAATAAAAAATAAATACTCATCATTGGAAAAAATTTAAACAAAAGGCCATGAGTAATCTATTCTCTCATTATAACATTTCTCTTGTATTCTACATACAACAAATTAACATTTCAAGGCACATAAATACAACATCCTTTTAAAAGTTCAGTAATTTTAATTAAGTAATTTTTGAAGAGAAATCTAAACATTACCAGTACTACAGAATTCATACAATTTGATTTTTATTCCCTTCAATGCAAATTTAAGTACTTGTTTCTTAGTATGTAACAAAATTTTTAAAAAGTAAGTTCTCTTGAGTACATCAGGTTTATCACTTTGTTTGCTTTGTGCTTTTCTTTTCTAAATTACCAGGCCCTTTGAAAGGCTGGGCTGCTTCCCTTTTTATCCTCTCCTTTCCCTTGCCTCCACTTCCTCAAAGAGATATGCTTAGTTTTGGAAATTCTGTATCACAGGCAATTCAACTTCTGAAACACACAGACTATGTAGACAATCATAAAGAATTTGCTAAGAAATTAACTTTTTAAAAAAGCTTCAGTAATTATCTCTGTATATACTTAAATATAAAGTGTACTTCAGTGCACAGTTGACAGCATTTCTCCAAAGTTATTTACTGTGATTGGAACTACTCAATAATTCTGTGATTAACTATCTACCTTACCCAGAACCATCTAAAAAGCCTTTAGATTTTTCACAATTACACATATTTAAAGAATTTTCAGCGAGGTATTTTTACAGAAAACATTACACTTTAAGACAGTGAACTTGTATGAAACATTTTTACCATATTTACAAGTTTTTTCTTGAAGTCTCTACCCAAGTGCCTAGGCCCTTTTAAATTCAGTCATTTTTAGAAAGAAATTCTATTATAGAAAGCTTTCACAGTTCTCAAAGACAATTCCAGTAACTTTTCAACATAATTAGTTAGGAACAAACATGCCCTTTTAAAAAAGCACTTGCAGTGTAATACTAAACAGAACATAAGAAACACATGTGTTTATCTTTTCATCTCTCTGCCTTTTACTCCCCCAAAAGCAGCAAATTTAAATTATAACATGATCTCCCATTAGGAACCATGTAGTACTGAAGTGCAGTATTTGGAAAAGTCAGTTCTATTAAAATATGTACATACTGTGTGTGTTTTTAATGCATCATAAACATCACCGTATCTATTCATCCTTAATGCAGACCATATCCTTGGGTTTGCTAAGGCTCTTCACCTCCTCCAGCAGTCTTCTAGGTGTCAAAATATGAGTAGAACCTGACAAAAAAAATGTAAGTGTGAACTGCATCAGTTAAATTGTGATTTTCAGACATTCCCTTGTAAAAACATCAGTTACATGCCCGTGGTTTTTACCACACCTGGAAAACTGACAAGTGCAACATGTCAAAGTATTTTCATGTAAAACACCACCATGTAAGTGTCACCATTAGACAGGCAATATCCCTCTTCTCACACTCGGACATCCAGATCAGGACCCATACTTTGAATCCAAGTTTCAAGTCCTGCTCTGCTCTGTTTGAAAGACAGGACTGAGCCTGGGCAATTGTCCCAGCCTACAAGAAACCTGCCATTCTGTGAAAGGATGAGTTAATGAGAGGCTTTACCCTAGAATGAAGAAACTATCTGGATTCAAATTATCATACACAGTAGTGTTCCACAGAAATATCAGTTACAGAAAATTGGCTTTGACTGACTAACGTTTCCTTGAAATAACAAAATTCAAGTCTTGAGCAGCAAAGAAAATCCTTATGACTCGTTAGTGCACAAGTACCTCTTATTCTCACAGAGAGTGATTATAACTTCTGCCATGAAGGGTCACCCTGCAGTTCTGAAGGCAACAAGAAGTGTCACTCTGAATGGACTAACATTCCTGGGGTTCTGAATCAGGAACATAGCCACATGTTAATCTTTCAGTAATCCATGTAGAAATTTGGCAACTATCATCTTCTCTCAGAAATCAGGATTAAAATCAAAACTACAAGAATCATCTCTAAACAAAAGGGAAGATGGTGCTGTGGTGAGTGCCAGATACTCCACTGAAAGAGTCACCAACACTAAACATGGTATTGTAAACAAGTCTCAGGTGAGGAAATCATCTGGTTAAACTACATTCCTGTTGTCCTGGTCTTTCCATTACTACTCAGAACTCGAACCAGCATTAAACCTACCTCAACCACCACCAATGAAACTAGCAAATAAAAATTAAACCAAAACAAAACCAACTACACACACACACACACCTACAATATCCCTGAATATTTTGAGGTAACAGACTCTAGATCTTAGAATCAAGGTTGGCATTGTTTTAGGGAAGAACATTTATTTAAGTAAAATCATGATAGATGGTAGACAGATTCAATCTGAATCTCAAGACTAAATTTAAATGCCAGATGTATACCTCTCAAGCAATTTAGAATGCTTTAGATAACTCTGCATGCAGCCATCAGCTGGCTCTGCAGATGGACACAGGTCTGTGGTAAGGTTCTATATCTAAGAGTTCTGTTCCTATATATTATATATATGTACATGTTTTAGCACCTAATTATTTCCTGTAATGCTATTTAAAATTCATTTGAAGCACAGCAGCTGATGGAACAAGCATTTATTACCTCTGAAGTGCTGAGAGATTGCTACACCAGCTGACAATTGCCAAACCTTAAGCAGGGAAGTTTTCAGGACCCAAGCTGTTAATCACTGCATGGCTTATGCAAAGCCTCTCAAGCAGCCACAACAGAAACTAGAAAATGTTGCAAAGTCAACTGAGCTACACTGAAAGAATGGTTTGGGGTCTATTTATTTAGTTTTTTGGGTGGAATTTTGATTAGGATTGTTGGGGGTTTTTGATACTTGCTTCCAAAGTGAGCAATTTAGCACTGGTCTGTCAGGTTTCCTACTTCCAAAAGCAATGAGAGTAGCAAGTGCCACTGAAGGTAAACCACAGGCAGATGCAGAAGTTTGTTAGGAACTGTAATGCAAAGAAATAGAGGTCTCTTGAAATCCTGTTTCCTATACAGTCTGACATAATTCTTCTGTAGAGTATCACTGGTTTGTCCTTGACGTCTTGTGGCAAAAAAACCCTCCAAACATCAAGCAGTTGATACAACCTGAAAAGATGCTTTTAAGTGCATAGTTTTAAGAAATACGCAGGCTATAGTCTTAGTGCAGTGAACCAGAGGCAATCTAAGAAAAACGACTGTTACATTTTCCAGAAGCACACGTAGCACAGCACACCCCCCACCCTTTCCCAAGGCCAGCTTACCAATAACAACTTCACAGGACTTGTAGGCGTCGGACACCTCGTAGGCGCTGCGCATCTCGGAGAGTGTGACGCCCCCGATGACAAACACGATCAGCCTCGCGCCGCTCCGCCGCTCCTCTCTGCAACTCGCCCGAGGCTTCTGCCGTGCACTGCAAAGCATTTCACAGGGTGGCATTTATACAGCTTGCCTGATTAATTGTGGGTTAAAATTATACAGTCAACAAACAGTAGCAATTTCTGTCATGCAGTTCGTGGCTTGATTATAATTCTAGCGAAAGTATTTAGATAAATTGCTAACTTGTTTTTATTAAGTTTTTAAAATTATTACATTACTCAAACTGTTTAGGTATCACCAGGGGGAAAATAACTACAAAACAAAAACTTAGTTGCACACACAGCTAACATGCCAAAGATTCCTGCCAAGCAGCTTAACTCTGCATGCTCCCAATTCCAGTGGCATTTTTCATGAGAGGCTCGTTTGAAAAAGCTGGAGTCTTAGGTTTTTCAATCTCTGAACGTGAATAGAATCTCTAAAGAAAGTATTTGTCTGTTATCAAATCAGATTCAGATACCTTAGAAAAACAAAACAGCCTGAAGCTCTTAGAAGTCTAATACACATGTAGTAATTGCAGACTCAGGTTAAGTCATCTGCAGTCCTGATCTCTCTGAACTATTGCCTTCAAGAGTCCCACATTTCACCAGCCTATAAGACAGAGATCAAGTTCCAGTGTACAGGGACTTGCTCTAGTATTCCCTTGCATCCTAGTGCATTTCCAGAAGCAGAAGGATACACTACCAACAGTTTAATTTGAACTGGAAGTAGAAAACCTATTTTCCTAGGAGTGTCTCTACTTTTTGTTTTTTATTTAGTAAGGTACAAATTCCAACTCAAGTGTGTCTTCCACATTTAGGATATGTTGAATGTTTCCCTCCCTGAATTCCAGCATCTGATTAGTGCAGTGAGCATTCCTGAGAGAGGAACACTTAGTGAGCATTCCTGTGATAGAAACACTCTTGGGAGTCTTTATTCATTTGTCTCACTATTTAAATAAAACTATAAAAAGTGATAAAGCTCTCAAATTGGAAGGTTTCGGTCATGAGGTTCAGGAGCTAGTGGAATTAAAAAGAGAAAGAAGGAACAGTACAGGTAAGCTAAAAAAAATTCCAAAAGTCACCTCGCAGCGGCAATCATTAAATATGCAAGTACACATTTCATATTCATTAGCAGCAAATTAATTTCAAGATCTCCAACTGTCCCACACTTGTCTAAACCACTCTCTGGCAACAGCGGTCAAATGCCTAACAGGGCCATATTTCCTAATCAGGGAGCCTACAAAAGATTAATTTAATTTCCTGAGGTCATTAATCCCAATAATGTCACCACCACTAACATAGCAGAGATAACTTGCAGAAGTAAAACATTCTTTTTACCTAAGTCACAGTACTGAACGTTCATTCCTGACACTATTTCACACTCAATGGTTTAAACTTCTCATTCTGGGAATATGAAATGTTATTTCTAGCCTTGAAGCAAAAGGGACATACTGCAAATAAAAGCGCTAAGAATTATTAAAATAACAACCAAGTTGTTTTGGATGAAATAAAAACATAGACTTGGCACATTAACATTACCTTACATGTGTTATTCACTGTTCAGTAAGCACACTTCTGTATGGCTTTAGAATGTAAACGACCAAAGTACTGAGATCTGGGTAAATTATGTTTCAGGAAATTAAACCATTTACCTTACTGCTCCTGAGCCATTCCAGGTGGGAGGACATCGGGAACAATAAGGCCAGTCTTTTGAATCTAATTTGTTTTCTATAGCATCCTGCAGGGCAAAATAAAGACACACTTTAAAAAGCCATACAGACCTTAACCCCATCAAGTTTCAGCTTTCAGAAAGGATGTCTAACTGGAATTTCATGCCAATACATGCAGTCCAACAAATAATTTCAAGTAGCATCTCATGAATAACGCTCCTATGTAACAAAATGCTAGACCACATCATGCTAAAATGTATTATTAAGTGTTTTGTGTATCAAAAGGAATGCATTTTTTATAACCATATTACTGATTTAACTGTTCAGATGTCACTAGCAGCTTTTCATCTGTAATAACCTTCATGTATTTGATTTCTATATATCAATATATGAGAGAAGTCAGAGTCCCCTGAAAACAAAAATGAACATATGAAAGCCACCAAGAATCTATGAAGGACAGCACTGGGTCAGACTAACAGTCCAGTAAACTCATTATCCTGTGTGATATCAGTCACTGACTGATTCTTAGGAAGAGGTTTAAGAACAATGAAACTGCACTTCTGGCAAGTAACACCTTCCAGGCTCTACCACACTTCAGTTTAGAATGGAATTACAGTTTAAAGACCCGTTGGAGTTAAAACCAAGAAGATACAGATCTTTAAATTATACAAAACACTGACAATCCCAGGACAAGCTGTTCTAAAAGACTTCTTGCTTTCACTTTCATTTGTTTCATCTTTAAAATGACCTCTAATAGGGAGTATTACTAGCAGCAGTCTAATGCTCTTTATTAGAGACAGACTAGAAATAATCACTTTGCCCACTAGATGTATTGAACAAAATGAAAACTCAAAATACTGTGGAATTCAAAAGATTGGCTGTAACGGCTCACGTGAGTAAATATCTGCACTGCACCCATGAATTAATTAGTTGGTGAAATTTACCTCCATAACATCTTTGATAACAGGAGTCCACCTAGAAAGCTGAAAGGTTTCTTCTTTAGAACGATCCCTTCTGGTGTATTTATGCTGCTGAGCAACAAACTGAAAAGATTTTCAAAATATGGTTGTATTATTTAGTGTTTGGATTTTTGAAACTTACTGGCAGTCAGTAGCAGAAGGAGGGGGAATAAGTATAAGATTTTAAAGAAATAATAAAAATGATAACAATAATTAATACCTCTAGAATTCAGGATACACTAGAAATACCAACTTCAGAGACAAGGAACTAAGTTGGCAATTTCCAAAATCAACTAGCTCAAGTCACTATCTGATAATTGCAGAGGGAACATTATGAGTATCTTATTTTCAACAACTAACACGACTAATTTTCAAAGGATTTACCACTTAAACATTACCAAAAAAAAAGAATTCCTAGTAATTATCTGCTTCCAGACCTGGATAATATCACTAAGAGTTGCTGAAAGAGCTGTAGGACCTTGGACAGTAGGAAATTACAAAATAAATAAATACATTCTTACTGAAGAGATAACAGGAACATCAAGGTATTTCCAATTTCTTATCATATCGCTATCACTTTCTATTTGCACATTCTGGATCAGCTTGTCCAAGTTCTCCTGGGTAGTTCCTTCAATATATGGAAAACAGACAACAATTACCAACTGACTGTAAGACCAGTTTTGTCTCACACATTCTATTATTTAGTCCAGAACTTCTTTGTTTATTCTGTGTGACTAGTCAAAGTTTAACATGATATTATATTTTAGATAAAATTTTGTTTTCTTGAGACCAAAACTCAATATTGTTACAAATTCCTCAGACCAACATTCTGCCAATTTGCTCCTTTTCTACAACAAATTTTCCCCACTGACTTATTTTCAGGTTGCAATAGACATGGAGCTCCCCCTTTAACAGATTCAATGTGAAAATAAGAGAACAAACTATTGCACGCATGCAAGAATAAGAATTATATTTCAAAACACTGTATCAATCTAGAATTGAATTATACCTCTTAATTCTCACCAATAGTATCTTTGCTACTAATCTGAGAGAAGATACAGAGGATGGATAGGATTTCTTTCAAACCCAGCTATCAACTCCAACACAGACTTAGATTAACTAAAACCACTGTACTATCCTAAAACTTGAGTTCAAGGTCATAGCACTGAGGAAAAAAACACAGGGCAACTTTGTCATACCATTTGTGCTAAAGATATACAAGAGAATAGCTCTGATTTTGTCATAGCTGTCATGACTTTTGTTGAGCAGAACTGGAAGGAGGACCCTCATAGTGTCTTTTACTTTTTGACCTTCTGCATCAGTTCCAAGAGCCAAGTCCTAAATTAATTAAAAATAAAAACAGACACCATGATTAAAATCATTAAAGTAATTTAAATCAACATTGTTCTGTTTTAAACTCAGTATTGTAAGTCTGACATTCATTTCAATAGCTACACCATTATAATAACACTACATAACACTCTTAAACACCTAAAACTGTGATATCTAAAACTCTTAGAAATGTAAATTATAGTCACAATCTAATGCCTTACTCTAAAAGCTGCTTTTCCCAGACATTTAAAAAGGGCTTCCCTCTCACAACATATTAAAGCAACCTCATAGGACTTTTGAGCCATGAAAACAAAGGTAATCCTTATACAAATCGCCAAGACAAAAAAAAAAAAAAAAAAAACAAATAACTCAAAACTCTTAGGAACACTTCCTTATTGGGAAAGAGCCTTGTATATTAAACTTAGTTTTAATACTACCACTTCTAAAACTGATGACAAAATAAAAGCAAGAGACATAGTAGTTTAGTCAGTTAAAACAAGCTTCTTTTCCTGCAAACAAAAAAGTGGTACTTGCAAAGCTGCTGTTTGGTTTGTGGCATTTTCAAACATACCTGCTCAGCTTTACAGAGCCTTTCTATGTTAGATTTGAACTTGCTCATGCAATCTTCTGCTATGTTAAGATGAACAACTTGCTGTAAAACAGAAAGAAAAAAAAACAATTTAAAAAACAATAAAAAAAGTTGCCATAGCTTGAATTGTTTCTCCAACATATCCATCATTTTTACTGGTTGCAAGAGTCAATCCTTCAGTACCATTATGCATTTTCTGTGTTTTCCCCTTCACTTAGAGACTGACCCCCATAACACCTTGTATAACATTGAACTGTTATGATATCCTCAATCCTCAAGGCACACAAATTATTTCATTCTTTTGCATAGTAAAATGAAACACATGGAAACAAGTTTTCTTCTCTACATTTTACAGTAGGTGAAAACGTTAATTTGGAGAACAGCTATATAATGCACTACAGGAAAATGACACACTAAAACTAGACTTCAACAAAAGAAAATTAAAGAATTATTAACTGTGCAGTTGTGCACAGAATAACTGCACAGAATTACTTACTGTTGAAATTGTGATTATAAAAACCCCCTTACCTTACTAATCTCTTTACGATAGAGTGGCATCTTCTTCATCAACTGGGACAGAGCAGATATGGATAACTGGAAATAAATGACACAAGCTGAAAATCTCTTCCCCCAATAAATGACACACTTATTTCCCTTCCTATGGCAGCCTTGCTTCTCCCACAACCCCTGAAAATTCCAGCTGAGAAAAGCCTTAATTCCTGTAGTAGATCCATGAGGATCTGATCAGCTGAAAATAACTAAATTACCAAGAAAAACAACACCTCAACTTAAACAACTTACTTTTCCTTCTCCTGCTTTGGTTTTTGATGAAGCATCTTTCAAAAGTTTTGGTAATTCCCTGAAGAAAAGAGGAAAATAATGAAAGGTAACAGTACATGAGTTCTTAAATCTTTTCCTGAAATCTTAAAAGAAGAGTGCAACAAGAACTTCTGAATGGAAGTAAAAGCCTGAAATACAGGCCTATCTTCAGAGAAAAGAGTGATTTTTTTTTACAAAGGAAATATTAAACATTCTATTTGTAATATCTTCATAATGTAATTTCATGCAGCAGCTTGGTAGTATTGTATGCAAAATAATCCCTTCAGATTTAAAATATTTGAAAATATTTGCCTGAAAACTACTTGATTTCCATTTACCTCAAGAACTGCAAGCAGCATTAGTATAACTGCATACCTGAATATATACCATATTTATGAAGCACAATTTCTCCCTGGCATTAATTACTTAACTGAATCCAATCTGTATTGCAAACCATGTTCATTACTGCCTGTATTCCCACTGAACAGCTCAAAACTCTCCCTCTCAAACAAACCAAGCAGTGGCTTTGTTTTTTATTCACATACTCTATCACATCTGCAATATGCTTGTGCCGCATCTTCACCCACAGGTCATCATCTTCCTCCAAAATTGCCTCCTTTTCCTTCCCACCAGAGCCTTCTGTTTTGTATCTTCCAAGAGAAAATTCAGACAGTTATTTGGTGTTTGGGTTCCCCCCATTCTCATCACTTATTACAGTACTATTTGTAACAGTTCAATCAACATAAATAGTAACAGCAGTAATAGACAAAGGTTTTAATTTATAAGCCAAGCTATTGCCTGACAAAATATAATTTACAGAAGGATGTTACAGATTACATATTTTAACATAGATGCAGCAGATTAATTTTAGAAAGATTCTTTGGGGCAATAGCTTCTGGACATTCTTTTAAATCGACAGTAACTAGAATTTTAAACACATAATTTACATGCACCTCAATTTCTCTTTAGTTTCCAATGTCAACTTCCCTTTGGTTTGAAATGCTAACTGCACAAAGTAGTACACACTGCAATTGTCAAGTGCAGCTTGCTCTGTATACTGTAAGACATTATAACTAAAGGAAAATGAAGTCACATTCACCAACAAAACGTTAAGCAGGACAAAGTACTTCACATATAAAAGAAACTGCTGCACAGCACAACACAGCAGCTATTTCGTGACTATAAACACCAATAAACCTAAAACAAGACAGCAATCATGCCACATAATATTTTCACATTTACAGAAACTCACTCAGTGCAGATTGCCAGAAAGCAAAAGAATGAGAGAAATTACAAGATTAATGATGAAAGTTAGATCATGGCTACCTAGAAAATATACTCTGCTACATCTTCATACCCAGCAATCAAACCCAGATTCATACAACTCTACACTTTCTATTAAAATCTTCACTCAAACTAAACAATGAGGCTATCAGGTCACTTTTGCTGTAGTGGGTCATCAGAAAGCAAAGTCCTACCAAAATCTTTGTTGTCAGAACAATCAGACAGTAAAGCACATAATGCATGCAAATTAACATTACACTACTCCAAACAGTTCTCAAACTGAACATGAATGATTTAAATGCATGTTTACAATAAAACATGTAAATTTTAACAACTACACAAATTAAATGACTGGAGCTATAAAAGTGAGAATTCCTGAGAAATAACCTAGCTTTATCTCAGTATTTAGTTAGTGGTATTGCTTGTCTTGTTATGCCAAAAATTTTATAATATGAAAGAAAATCTAGAGAATCTCAATGTGCACTCTCAAACTTTTATTTCAAGTATAGCACAAGATCCTTAGTTCTTAAAAAATGCAATTTGTTGGACTCAAAACTTAGCAAAAATGCCAATTAGATCCTACCTAATCTCGACTAAGGGAGGAAGTCAAGAAAAGATGGAGTTACAAATCCAAGAGGAAAGACTAAAAATAAGTGAAGCAACCATTATGCAATATAAGCAGCTAATATTGCCATGGTGCAATTGAGCTAAACAATTTCAGGGATTTTAAAATCAAGAATAAACTATTTAGCTTTTTTTTTTTTTAAGTACTTGCTTGTAAATATCATTTTCAATGGGTAGCAGATCATATGCCATTGCCTGGAAGGTGAGCTCATGGAGTACAGTTGATACAGGGTCAAAGCCACGATCAATTATTATTAGTTGGGAGTGAGTTTTACCCTAGAAGGCCATCAAACAAACACAAAGACATACAGTACAAAGTTAATGCATGTTAAATCTACTTGCATTAAGACACAGCACTGCAGATATTTTTAGAAAAATAATTGAAAAACACTGCACTATGGTCCAAGTGTTTGAATATTTTAATTATATACAAAGGTTTTAAATACTAATTTTAAGGCAATGCTCTTAACCCACTGCAATACACTCAGAAATCTGAATTTTATTCATCTAGTGAACAAAAAATGCAAAAGAAAAACAAACAAAACCCAAAAAAGGCTGCCCAAAGATTTAATAGATAACTTCATTGTTTGTATTGCAGATCAGAGTGCTGCAATATGGAAAAAGATCTCCAAACATTCAAACTGAAAGTTTGATTTTAGGATTCAGTGAAGTGGCAGTAGCAGCAGGTACATTTATTTCTGTATCAAAGTGCAAAGTCATAAAGTCAGAATGGTTTACCCCATGGCTTTGTGTTCAAGCAGCTGCTCTAATCAGGCCTTATTTGTAGTGACAGATCAAAACCATTATTTATGTGAACAGCTGTATCTTTTTGGACAATAAATCCCTTCAGGGGAAACATTTCAATTCTGCAGGAAGCCCCTTCTACACGTGGCCTTATGAAAGGTGTTATTAAAATAACATTTATCCCTGGTGTTCAGGTTTGTAGCATCTCCCTACATTATCACAGGGTTATATATCAAATAAAATCAGTTTGATAACATAAATACAGCTTTACTCCAACAATTATTACCTCTACATTGCTTTCATACACGAAAACAATTAAATGGCAACTAGTTGCCTTTCTTATTAAGAAAGATCTATATTTGTAGAACTCAATTGTTGAAGAATATTCCAAAGATATTCTACCCCTAGACTTGCAAAAAAAAAATCTCAAACATTTTAGATCACTTTGTACCTTTATTTGGCTTTTCTCATCTGTTTTGTAGTAGTTTTCAAGACTTTTTTCAACAAGCTGTGCAAGTTTGCTGGCTCTGTCAGATGGTCCACTGGGAAAAAAGGAAGCATGCAAAAATAACTTACATTTCTCCATCAGAACACTAAAATGCTACTTTAAAACAGAAAACTCCCTAAATTGATCCTTTGCTTTCATGAGTTTCTGGACTCCACTCTAAGCATTTTCAATATGTTTTTACTTCTACATTATGATTTCACTCTTTGAATGCTTCAGGTATTTCACACAGCAGAAACAGCTTCAGGCAAAAGACTGGCATTAGCTGGCACATGGCCCAGCACCTGAAGTTTCGCTCAGGGGTGGGAAACAAGAAGGAAAAAAAGAAAGAACAGAAAAAAAAAAAAAACAGTCAAGCAATTATTTGTTACCTTTGCAGAGAATAAGACACCACATTACACCACAGAATGCAGTCCTTGAATACAATTTCAGAAGCCTACTTTGACTTCAAAGATAGTAAATCCCTTTCAAAGCTCAAAAGAGGCATTCTTCTCAATATCTCTACTACAAGTAATCCTTATCCCATGTGCCACAGCTATTTCTGAATTCCTTGGTGCCAAGCAGAGCTGCAAATGGCAGAACAGCAGCAGTTCTGTTACAGGATTATGCATACAAGAATGCAGCATATCAGTGTTACCCTACTGACCAGACATGAAATAAACCATTCAGAACAAGACAAGGTATAGCAAGTTCTGTTACATGCATGTACACAGAAAAACACTGCTCTACCTACACTTCACAAATTCCTATCATTCCATATTTCAGACTTGTGGATTAAAAACAATTAATCCACAACCACAAGGAAAAGAAAAATAAAACTGAACTATGCTGCAGCCTTGAGCTATGACCAAATTATGTGGTAAGCCCAAGAAGTGAAAGCAGTTACTATAAAGCACTAATTTTGCCCCACCTTTTATATCGTACTCCTGGATTCTCATCTAGTGTGGCACATAAGGTAACAATTTGTTCAGCCATGACTTGCAGTACAGCATCTTTATCCTTTGTCCTTTCCAGAGTGGGGCTGTAGCAACGGTAGAATGCATCTGGGATGTTGAGAGTAAATACCTACAGAAAGCACAAGCAAGAAAAAAAGGGCCGAACTTGCAGATTGCCCAAACACCCGGTAAAAAGTCTGCTAATAATTTAAAACTATATGCTGCAAGAAAAACTCATACATAGGATACTAAAAAAAACCCCCAAACTTCATTTCTCTATCCCTGCTGATATCCCATCTTCTTGTTCTCAGACTTTTCCCCTACTACTCTCCTATGTAAATTACTCAATTTTCCAAACTGCTTACAGGACACAAGGAAGGAACTAAACACTCGTCACTGTCTTGTACAGAACCATACAATGCAATAGCAGAATGAACATAGAAGTTATCAAGGTTAAATTGGTTTAAAATAAAATTTTACACATTGTATCTGCTTTTAATGTGAAGAATTTATCTTCAATAGCTGAAATTCTTTAAATGCATTAAATCTTGATTAAAGCAGCTTAGTACCAGAGAGATGAAAGGCTTTTTCAACAGTTTTGTACATGGAATGCAAACATGAGAACAATCCCATTGTCAGTAAATGGATTTTCTCTAGCTTCAGATGGACTCTGTAACGACGAAGCCAAAGAAGAACATCCATCCAGATAAGGGGTTTGCTCCACTCGAGTAGATAATGAGCTGGACTTTGCCCAGAGCTCAGCCTGATTATTTACTCTTAGCATCCCAGAAAGCAGGCAGACCAGTTAACACTGTTCCTCTGCTAAAGATTCAAAAGGTTCTCACAACCCCAGATACTGAGAATACAAAACTACAGGAAAAATAAGAAGAGTGCTGCACAGGCTAAGTGCTCCTTATTTTCAACTTCAGAAAAGTAGCCCCAATTTCTGCTTTCATGGTGAGTCCTCCAGAGAACCAGGACCACAACATTTTCATAGGCTTTATTTGGTACAGAGGAGCAGCTTTGGCAGGGTTCCAAAAACCAGCTTGAAACAAAAGTTGTAAACATCAAACTCACTGGAAAGCAAACAAACAGGCCACCATACTCATTATCCTCTGAAGGATTCTCAACCAAAATAATAAAGAGCTCTTTATAATTAAAAGGAGTGTGTCTTCAAACCAGAAAACTGCACCACAGTGAGACATGACTAACAGCAATCCCTCCTATATTCACCTGTCACTTGGTATACATGAGAGTTGTCACCCTTGATACGTTGATCATGTTTGACACAGGAAACATTCATGGTCAGTCCTGGTTAGTTCTCCAGCCCCCAGAACTGGGCAGAGCTTGGAGGCTTCACCACCTTAGTGAGTATTAGTGTGCATTTCAGCCTTCTGTGTCTGATGAAGGGCATTAGCAACACATTATTTCTCAACACAACACCCACTGTGTGGCTGCACATGGAAAACACCCATTGGTAGTATACACCTTTAATTAAGCAAACAGGAGTTCCATGCTCTCCACTCACTGCAAAGACTGTCAAATTGCAGTAGTTTTTGTTCCACTCCCCTTCAGTTCTCTTAGTCCATTTGTTCTCCTTTCCTGACTTGCACCAAGTCCTATTTCTATTCCTACCCACCAACCTACCCAACCTATCAAAGTGAAACCTCAGTATCAGCAGTAACAAACTCTTACTACAGACCAACCAGAATACTTGCCTGCTCTTGGGAACAGATTCCTTCTTTAACCTCCCTATTGCAACTGACACCAAGTCTTGCAAAGAGGTCAGGTGCAAAGAGTAAAAGTCTTTGAGTACAAGAACATTTGTTTTCACCTGAAAGGCATAAGCAAGCACTGGAAATTTCCAAATGGAAATATCTCACAGAGAGTTTGTCAGTCAAAAGCCACATTCTATTTCATTGTTTTCTAAAAGGTCAGCAGCACTTGAAAATAATCCCCCAGGCTACTGTTAAGGTTAAGAATTAAACTTACCTGAGACTCATAAGGGAAGAAGGAAATGTTGATCTCCTTGCATCTCTTTATTGATTTTGCACATGAAGCCTTTATTTTATTGAAGAGGCTGTCAGGACAAACTAGGGGGGAAAAAGAGACTCTAAGTATAAATAATTCCAGCTGTGAGCTCACTTATTAACATACAGTATTCAGAGAAGACAATTCTAAATTAAGACCCAATTAACCATAAAATACCTACTCTATATTGCCTACTCTTCCTAAAGTGAAATAGATCATACATTCAATATTTTTTGAGAAGTGCCACTGCTCAATTTATACTGGCTTTTTGCAAGCAAAAGGTTTCTGAACATTCATTAGCAGTCCTGCAACTGTGAAGGATGTTGATTTTATCAAAGTAAACATTTCTGCTATTTCTTATCGTGTAGGAGGGGAAAAAACACTTCCCAAGCTACAAAAAGAAACCATGTATACACATCTAAGAGCAAAACACAGAAATATGGAATTTAAATATATATCTCTAAAGTGTTCCACCACACTTCCAGGCTATATTATATTCCAGTCTAGAAACTGAATTTATGGAATACATGGATGACACAAATATTACACAGACTTGGAAGTGACAGAGTTATTTCTCTAACTCAGGAGCTATTCCTCTCAACAGGAAAAGTTTTGGCAAGTTTTCAAACTGAAAGCTTGCCCACTTGCAACTAAGGAACATACAGCAAGATAGCAGTTTTCCTGCTGCTTCAGTATGAAAGTAAACAAGAAACCAAGAATTTGGATAGTAATTTAATACTGCTTTGAGAACATTCAGTAGCAGATAGGCAGAGTCTACAAAGACAGGCAGGCCTCAGTGCCTGCTTTCAGCAGCACATTTGGGGTTTTGTTTTCCCCTCTTTACACATCATTTTAGTCATGCTGACTGACTGCAGGGGCATGTGCAGCCACATTAACCCCATTCCCAGTAATTGTCTCTGCTACACAATTTATGGCGTGTATGCAAGGGCTAAGGAGGGCCCCTTCTTTCAGGGAAGGGAAAAAGCTGGCTCACAGGTCTGAAGGAACTACCTGAAGCAACTGATTACTAATACAGCTCTTGCAGAAACTCTTTGTTGGAGTGTGTAAAATAGAAGCCTTTCTGAGTCCCTCAGACAGAGAAAAGAATGCAGGGATTTAATTAAAGCCTGTAAAGAAATTAAAGTACATTAAACCACACAGACATGAAGTGTAAGTTTTAGTTTTAAGTAGGAATATTATTAAGCCACATAGATATGAAATAGAAGTGTAAGTTTTAGTGTTAAGTGAGAATACAATGTAAATGCCTTAAGACAGCAAAAAGCCCTAAAGTCTAGTTAAAGTTCAAGCAACCTAAAGCTTAGTTAAAAGTTCAGAAACTTAGCCCCAGACAGAATGAAAACATAGTAAGAACATTGCTTACATTTTCTAGATAGAACAGACAGAACCATTACAATGAATGGACAGAGCTATATGCGTAAATTATGACACCACTTCATACTCTAAAATTAAGACTAATAGGCGTAGAAAAAACCACGAACCTGAATACTGTATCTCATTGGATGATTTACAAATAAAAATCCCTGTATTGGGGTGAGAGACCACTACCACCATCCAGAAGAAGAAATGCCAGGGAGCTGCTGCTGCTTCTTCTACTCAGGACTCTATGCCAGGAAGCTTTAGCACAGACTTTAATATTCTGAACTCTTTGAGACTGATGTACTTTTGCAATAAACAACTTTACAGAAACCAACAACTGCTCTTGCCTCTTTGAAACCCAGACCCACGAATAACTCAACAAGTCCTCACACAGTTATGATTTTAGTACTATTTTGTTTTTGTAGAGATACACAGTTTGACTTGAATTGTCTTCTTCCACACTCCACCACAGGAGAAGACTGGAATACTTAAAAATAAAACTACATTACCTCAAAAAAAAAAAGCAGAGGTAGAGAACAATCAAGACTGTTTGGTAATTGTGAAAGAAATTACTATTGCCACATAGCATGGTGACCACAGCCTGGCAACCCAGATACACGGTTAATGACTTGAGTCTCAAACCTTCTTGCAAGAAACAGGGCCCAAACTTCTCATTTACTCAACTCCAGACAAGAGAAGCGAGCAGCTTACTTATTTAAGCATATAAAGTTACCAAACTACAACCCAAAAGCTTACTTACAGTCAGTGAAATACACATATGCTGCTTTGTATCTGCTGGATGATTTAGTGATGAAGTCATCAATCAGTCCATCTACAGACTTACAGGGGTAAGAAAAATAAGGAAGAAAAAAAAAAAAACAAACATCATTCCAGTGTTTTGCCTTTCTACACATATCAGACAAAGCTTCTCCCTCTTCTCCTCCTGCCCTATTACCAAGTCTCACTTAGGAATACTGAAATTCAACATATAAGAAAACACTGAAGTTTAAGATTTTTAATTCCAGACAAAGAATAGCAAGCAACTACAGATTGTAAATTATGTACCAAACTCATTTCAGGAAGCACACACATCACAGTTCTTGCATAATTTTCCAGCTGTAACAGCACTGAGATTTACTCTTTCAAGAATTTTTAGGAAGTAACAGTAATCTCTTATTAGAGGCATTACTTTGAATTCTCTTTTCCAGTGTATTGCATCATCATTTGATACATCTCTTTCAGTGAGGCTACAATAGCTAAGCAATGGTACAGTGCCTACATTGATCACAAGGTACACATTTGCAAAGTATTCTATGGTAGCACTACACTGTCTTTTCATCTTGGGAAATTAGGCATTACACAGAAGAGTATCACAGAAAATGCTCAAGTTAAGTGCACAGCTGTACACAGTAAATAAACATTTTCAAATAAGGTTGTTTCTTTCAGTCTGAAAGATCTTGCAACACTTTAAAATACTAACCTTTTTAGTGGGAGTTATTAAATATATTGCCTTCATGTGTGGGACAGGCTCACGATTTTTATATACATTCTCCACCACTATAAAGTAAGAAACATTACATTTTTATAATTAGGAATGTTATCTATCTTTAAGGAAAACACTGCACATACTTTAATACAGAGTTGATAAAAATAAAGTAACAGCAATCAAGTTGTCCACAACATTAGAGGTAAGGACGTACCTTCTGCTAAGAGCCGTGATTTATTTTTTTGCTATTTTACATACAGAAGGTTATCACAAGGCTTTCTCAATTCTTGGTCTAGTGACAACTCAACTTGTAGGACTAAATTCTTCCTAGGTATTCTACACTTCAACAGAATGGCAATGCAAACATACTCCAACTGTGGGGCCCTCTTGGAAGGACAGGAACTCTCTTGGCAAGACAGTTCTTTTCCCAGCACACTGAAGGAGAGGGAAACTATGCAGGGCATCATTTTGGACTACAGCCTCTTCTGTCCTTTGTTTGCCTATTTCCTGGGCAATTAGTCTGTTTCAACATAATTACAGGCACAAATTAAGACATTTTCAGCAAATCAGCTTCACTCGTCTCTTGTTTTTCTCTGTTCAATAAAGTCATTACTGTACAGTGTTACAGTACATCAGCCTGAGAATGCAGAGATATTCTTGTGGCTCAGAAATGTTGTGGGGGAGGAACAAAGAAGATAAGTCATGTCAGACATCTGGATGTGGAAAGACAGGTTCCTTTCAGCAGTGTGCTCACTGAAAATAAAAGGTTTCCTCTAGATAAGGAAAGGAAAACATGCTCATCAAAAGTTTCTCACAAAGGATAAATAACACACACCAAAAAGCAAAATTGATGCAGCTCTACTACGATATTTCCAGAATAATCATGTTATGCTGAATAACTGGAATAAGAATAGTACTGTGGAAGAAATAATGAAGTTTAAACAATGCCCTCTTACACGAGCATTTCTGAAAATCTAGGCCTAAAGCTATTTAAAACTAGTTCATTTACATTTTGGAAATTTAATTCAATTTCAAAAATAGGCATCAGCAAACAAACACCCATTTCCACCTCCCAAAAAAACCCCACCAAAAACCCCAAACCAAACACCACCACAACAACCAAATCAAAAAAAGGTAAAAGCACAAAAAGCACCAAAAAAACCCAATCAAACAAAAAATACCCTTGAGCAATCTTCAGAAAAAAATATTTTAAAGGGGGATTTTAGCTTTCAAGGAAAGAAACATTTGGTTTGTTCATTAAAAAAAAAAAAAAATCACAGTTGACTAATTACTGTAGAAGCCTGAAAGTCTACTATATTAATATCCCATAACTACTTGTCTTCATCAACCAAGTAAAGACCATTGCTTGCAAGGGTACTATCAATTTCATCAATTTTAGTCTCTCTCTTTTTCTTAGCAGGATATTGCCATTGGTGCATTAATAAGAATGATGCTTACCTGTGACACCCTCTGCCAGTAGATCAGTCATTTTGCAGCACAGTGACAGTAATTTAGTTGTGTAATCATCTAAAAGCATTATCTATATTTTTAAAAAACACACAAGAATTCAGATAAATTAATCAGCTATATTAAACCCATATCATTTCCTCAACAACTTGCCATAGAAGTTTGAAGCTAAAACTATTTTATTACTCTGCTTTTTTCATTACCTGAATACACCAACATTGCAGGGGGAAATTAATCTCAGAAGGAAGCTCCTAATGTACAGGATTTCCAAAGATGAGCTCAATCTTAAACATGTGCTTTGAACCCCTACTCATAATAGAAAGTACTTGGAAAGCTTCACTTGAACACAAGTCTTTTGAATTCCTGCTAATTTACCCCATGGCTCAAATATATCTGTATTTATTTTAAAACTGTTTTATAGCTTAAGCAGTTCTAACAGGTATCATACTGCTGAATCCTGCTCCGTATGTACTGCAGTGCAGCGTAATTTTTGAAATTAATAAAGTACAAATCTTTCAAAAGGAAAGTGAAGATAAACACATATAGTTTCTAATTTTTTCCTTCACAACTTAAAAAAAAAAAAAAAAATTACTATTCTGTTCTTCCTGTACTGGCCTCTAGACTTTTCAATATGCATTATACAAAGAGCTGAGTTATCAAAAGTAAAATCTATTACTTGGACAGAAAACAAATCTTAAGTGAAAATGCCAGCCATTAATTTTATGTATTTGTTCTCTACTAGGTGGTACAGATTTCTTGTTCAAGTGAAGAGAGAATTCTTATAAAAATTTTAACAAAATTGTACCTTCCATTCTTCCTCTTTGCTAAAGTCATCAAAAACTGCTGATTTCAGCCCTGTAAGAAGAAAGTTTACAAGTCAGAGGAATCAAACTGTCACCAAGAAAGAAACAAATAATTAATCCATTTAGACTCATATGTTCAGAGCTCCAAAAAGAAAAATTTTAAAAAAATCCATACTGATAAAGAGCTGCACAGAATTCTTCACCACACACTGTCCCTGCCTGTTTCTAGGTCTGTACACGGGTGTAATAACAAATTTTTAACCACATGAAAATTTTATTAACATTCATATTTTCTGAGAATACTCTTGTCGATTAGTTAGTCTTTGTTTTTTCATAGGATTTCTTTTTACTGCTAGTCTCAACAACCTTGTCCAAATTCTCAAATATATTTTTTCTACAATATTTGCCTATAAAAGACATCAGAACATACAAATGCATAATTCAATTGTCTTCAACTTCATTTCTGCAATTAAAAAACAGAAGTCAGTTTTCTCCCATAATAAAATGAAAGTTTATTCCAAGCTATCAGTGTACCAGACACTGTGTACTTCGGCACTATTCCAACTGTTATTTATTCTGCCCTCAACCTGGAGCTTCTTCACCCAAAGAACTGGCCTACAATGGTGTCAAAATCACTTTTCTCCTGCAAGCATTCTGCACACACCAAAACCAAGCCCAGGTTAATGCTCCACTTTTGTCCACAGGCTTTCATTTTCTTCTCACAGATTTTATACCAACCATACACCCTAACTACCTTTTCAGATTTTGTCTTCTCTCAATACATTGAATTAGTTTACAAAGGCTTTTTTTCTTCTACCTTTACTTCACTATCTAGGAAAAACTATATACAACCCTGACAGAACAGCAGGCTGCCAAACTCCTGTGTGGAAAAAAAAAATATGCAAACCACACCTTGGCCAAATTAATGACCCGTTTATAACACACTTCCTGAAGAAAAGACTGTTAGGCAAGTGCTACAAAAAACAGAATTCCAGAAATCCTGAAACGTTTACAAAAATTAATATAGCTATCTGTGGGTAAGCTAGAACTTGCTATGCAAGTCTACAAAACATTTTAAAGTTGTGAAAATGTTAGAAGACAGAATTCCTCGTGGAAAGGACTTCATTTAGAGATTAACTATATACAGCAGCTCTCTGTATTTCATTATTTTATCCATGGAACTAAATACAGGTAGCTTTCTCTGTCCTCATAACTGTGAACTTAACTGACAACAAATTTGTGTAAATTAACTTTACCACACACTTGTGCTTCAATTCCACACACCACAGGTGTAACTTCTACATCTATTTACAGAGCAGGAACAAGATACACATTGACACAAGCTGCTACATAAAGCATTAGCATCGCTATTTTCAGACAAATCAGTCTTAATAAAAACCCCAACTTAAATATTTGCTGAAACATTAGGAGGCAGTAGTCTATGGCCTTCAATTGCCCATTTAAAAAGTGCCAGACAATGTCTAAAACTTAGTTAATCAATTTTCATTGTCGTTGTAGTCTTGGAAAGACAAGAGGAACTAGCTAACTAACAAAGAGTTCATTTCAGAAGTTCCTCTTAATTAAGCCCGCAATATAAAAGTTTTATTATTCACTGCCACTCTAATCTTTGTTCCTCACACTGGCAAGACCATTTTCAAAAGTCTTTATGGCGCTTAATAACACACTTATGCTTTGATCAAATTATTCCCTTTTATGGTCCAAGTCTTCTATAAAACATTGGCTCTACAGTCATAAGCACAAATAACAGAGCAAGACAGCAGGAAAAGCAAAGCAGCAAAAGTGGGGATTTCTAAAGGTTAGGTTTTAAACAAAGGTATCTAATTCATACAGGGTACAGGTGCCAGCAGTTGAGGACTGAACTCCAGAGGGACAGTGCGCTTTTCACTTGTAGTGACACAAACAAACAGCTTTCAGGTGGAAGCAGAGGAGGAAAAGGAAAACAAGGCGGCAGCAGGACCTTCCCATTTCAGTGGCAGTCGCCAGGCTGGCTGAGTAGCTCATGGAGTCACAACCTCAGTACAATTAACTTGGGGATGAGGTGGCTGCTAATGCCTTTTCCGCAAAGGTCTTACACTACCTGAAATACTATAAGCCTTTCTACACCAGCAAGGAAGGGAGCAGTTACAACTTCATTTTCTATTACAAACACCAGCAGAACCTGCTCCAAACCATGGAGATAAAAATCAGCAGTTCATTTTTAAGACCACCCGGGAATACCTGCAGATTCTTCTACCGAAAACCGTGAAGCCAGACACAAAGTGGGAAGTGCCGCTCCGTGAGAGAGAGCAGAGAGCCCCTTCTGGGGCAGGAGCACTCTCCGAAAGTAGCAGCTCGGAGGTAACACAGAAGTGCTTGAAGACCTGGCTTAAGTTTAGGCTCCTCAAGAGCCCGTCACGCTGGCTGCAGCCTGCAGAGCTCAGGGCTTTTCCCTTATCTCGGAAAAAGGCAAAGGCGTCTCTTTGCAGCACTGTTTCTGCGGACACCCGCGGCAACGCCGGGAGCCGAGGTAGTCACCTTCCAGCAGCGCGCCCTGCCACCACCTGTAAGAGCCGGCAGGAGCCGCCACGCACGGCCTCCGCCGGACCCGGCTGCCCACAGAGCCCCCGGGCCCGACCCCGGCCCCGGCCCCGCTCGGCCGCCTCAGCTCCGACACGCAGTGCGGCTCCGGCCGCGGCGAGAGCGGCCCCGGACCCCACCTGGGCGGCCACTCCCGACCCCACACACCGGGCTACGCGGAGCCGGCGCCTCAGCGGCGGAGGCTCCCGGCCGGCCCGCGCCCACCGAGCGGCCTCAGGGCGCTCCTGCCGCGGGGCCGGGGAAGGAGCCCCACAGTCACTCACTCTGCCACACGAAGCTCTTCAGCCCCCGCACCGCCGGCGCCATCTTGCTGTCAGCCCCGCCTGGCAGCGTTGCCTTCCCCTCCCTCTTCAGGGGCGGTGGCGGAGGGCGCAGCCCGATCCCGAGCGGGGCGGCTCCTGCAGGCCGGGGTCAGCCTCTCAGGAGCCCGGGCCGGCCTACTGGGAGCCGGGTTCTCTTCGTCTGCCATCGTGGGGTCCGGAATTCTCACTGGGGAAGTGCCCGGTGACAAGGGCTCGTCCCTTGAGGAAGGAGTTTCCTGCTGCTCCGGTGAGCCCGGAACGGCGGGAGCCGCCCCCGACCCCGAGGCGGCCCCTGGCCAGGTGTGAGGAGCAGGGGGGAACCGGACACCGCCTGGCGGGGGTGGCTCCCGAAACCTGCCCTGGTCCCGAGTCCCCTCGGGGAAAACCCGGGGCTCCCTCACGACAGCGGCCCCCAGGTTCTCCCTGACATGCGTGTAAACCACCTAGGAAAACACTGTCGTATGTAGACAGACGCCTGTAATCGTCTGTCAGAAGTTACAGTTTGCAGACGTAAAGTCGTGTTCTCGAAGGGGAACCAGCAAATGGAACAAATACGAAGGAATGCGAGGAAAAATTCTCTTTCCGCAACGGCAGGTATAAGGAAGAATAGTTAGTTCCCAGTCTGTATGGCGGTGTGCCATTCAAAGGGGAGTACGGTGAGGGCATCATTCCCGACAGAAAAGATCCTTGTGAGTGAGCAAAAATGCAATGAGCCGAAGAGCAAATTTAATTTACCTTATTTTACGAGTCTTATGTAAACCATGGAGAATCTGCACCCTGCAAGAGAAGGGAAGAGACCCCCCAGCCATGCGGCCAGAAGCCGAGTGCTGTGGTGGCCCCGTGTCTCCGGGGTTTGGTGGCCGCTGTCCAGCTGCGATCCAGCGGGGAGGAGCCGCCAGCCCCGCGCGACCTCCTGTGCCCCGCGGGTGCCCACAGACACAGCCCCGCTGGGAGCAGCGCTGGCCAGCGGCCTCGGCTCGCCCCGCGGGACCTTCTGACAAGATGTGCCGTGCAAAAAGTAAATGGTTAGCGTTCACTGGAGTGCTTCTCAGCTGCCTAGAAATGGTGAGTGCGACTTACTCGCAGTCAAGCTTGTTTTAGCGATGATACTGTACTCTTCGGAGAAGTAAACTCAGCGTTAGGGTGGAGCGCTATCAGACATCCGCTCCCACGTTGGTATTTCGTTACTATCACAGTGTTGCACTGTTTACATATGACTGAAAAATACTTTCAAAGTGTGTCAACAACTGCAAACGGGATTAATAGGCAGGTTCAGAGGGGAAAATGCAGAAGAAGTACAATCTGCATACCTGTACCAAATCTCATTGGTTGTGTACTCTTTCCATGCTTAAAGCATCTGAGCAAATACATCTTATCAGTAAAATATGTTAATAAACATAGTATTTTGGGTTGTTGTTACTAACATCCTTAGATATTTAATTTTCAAATTAAAATATTTCACATTATATTTCTAACTTTGTTACATCTTCCTTTTCAGATATTTTCAGCAAACACAGGTAAATATTCAAAATTATATTTTGGTTTTGCCTGTCTATTTTTGAATGGGTCTGAAGACAACCCCCATTTGTGATTTTTAATAAAATGTTCTGTAAGTTCTAGTAGCTTTATAAACAAAAAATGTTTTCATGCTTGATTCAGACTTTAAAAATTACATTGATATCTTAATAAATTTTAGATCTCATTTTGAGGAGTCACAATTCTGTTGGACACTCACATAAATATTTAGACTTGTGCCTTGATACTAGTGTGAACCAAGGACAACACTCGGATGAACAAATTCTGCTGTTCATTCCATAGCTGTGGTACAAAAAATAGTTTCCATATTTGCAAGAAAATAATTGTTGTATATTTTAATAATTAAAAAACAAACAAAAGAAACAGCAAAAAACAAACAAAAAAAACAAACAAAAAATCCAAACCAAAACCAAACAAACCAAAAAAATCAAAATAAAAACCACACCAGAAGAAGCACAATCTCCTATGCATAAATATTTCCAATATTTTGGAATTTATTGCACAGCTACTCAACTAAGCATTAACATCTGCTCTTAGTCCCAAGCACTTTCTTATCAGTAACAGTCAGACACCCTCTTTTGTCCCATTTGTAAAAATGCTCCCAGATATTCTATCTGACCATGCCTACAGAACATTTGCCGGTGGGTCTTTCACAATTGTGGAGCGAAATACTGCACTCTATATTTTTTTAGTTTGTGTTAAAATACTGTCTTTCATAACAATTCATAAAGATTTCTGTGCAGGAAATCCTTACCCAGGTTTAAGTCTTGCCTAACAGAAGAGAATATGTAGCACATAGATGTTAGCTGACCAGCTGTGTAAAATCCTTGCTCAGGTCTCCCAAAGCCCACATGAGCTGCCTTGCTATGAACGAGTTTCCTCGAGGTACCCATTTCATCCCAAACACTTCTACACTCTTTTTCTTAATTTTATGTGGGATGTACCTTCATTTTATCTTTTTTTCTCTTCTAGTGTGTGTTTTGCAGCCTTGCAATATGTGTAATTGCTTTATAAATGCTGCTTTTAGTGTGAAAATCCTGATTTCTGAACATAAATTGCTCGTGGTTAAGAAATACACTATTGCAGTCAGTTTTGTGTCTGCAGTACACAAGAGTTCTTTCTGAATGGCAGAGCATAACACCAAAGCATTGTTACAATATTTAATTTGTCATGCTATTGAATACCTAAGTATATCTGCTCTGAGCAAGGGGTTAGGTGAATTCCTATGATCCCTTCCAGACTAGATTATTGTATGTTGCCTTAATATAGAAATGCCTATGGTTCAGGATTCTATTTCAGACTGCTTTGTATATCTTGCTTTGTATATCACTTTAGTTAGTAATACAGCTAATTTGTTTTAAAGGAGAACCTCTCAGTGCAACCTAGGTTAAATAATGGTCTTACAATAGTGATTTCAGAGTACTATTTTTATGGAAAGATAAAATTTAGACTATCACAAGACTGTGTATTTTGTTAATGTTCACTGAAAGTCCATTTAACTTAAATTTTAATCATTCATAGAAAGTGTAGACTATTTGTCCTGCATTTTGTCTTTTTTAAATGTTCAGAGCACACAGCGTTCCACAGGACTGTCTTTTCCAGCTTCAGTATCTGTCATTATTTCCATTTTAGCTCCAGATATACCTGTTATTGACCGAGCTTATTCAAAACTTAGCAACAGTATCACAGTGGAATGGAGAGCAGTACTTGGGGCTACTAATTATATGCTGACTGCAGAAGATGGAGATTCCTTCATTGAAACAATAGTAAAAAATTCTCCAGGCACAGTGACGGGACTGAAGCCTGCCACCTTGTACCGAATTACTGTCAGATCTATCAATTCAGGAGGAAAAAGCCAGCCTTCACCTTTCAGAAAAGTAAAAACAGGTGGACTTTCAAAATCTTATTTTAAATTCTGTAATGTTATTATAACATAAAGCATTCGTGCATGTACCAATCCCGAATTATTATAATCTTTATTTTAAATTGTACTGATCTCATTCTTCTTTCAGTTTTTGAGGACTAGAATTCAGCCATCTGACTTAATGACCAGGACAAAAGTCTGAATTAATGGTTTACTTTATGATGGTACAGTAAGTTAAAAGTTCAGTTGGGAGTTTCACTAGAATTTGTATGAATATATGTATTTTACTTTAACAAAAGGCATAATTTGGAGGAATAGAAGAAATGAAGAAACAATCAAAAATATAAAATAGTAAGACAATGTGAAACTTAGAGGACAGGGAATTCTGTATCTTCTTGGTGATTTTCATTCTTCAGCGCATGCAGCCCTTCACGCTTTCTGTACAACTTTTGTTCATTTCACAAAACATGCAATAGAATAATTGATGCACCAAATCGCTTTCCAAATTTATTCTGTTGACCTTGAATTAATTTATTTTTTTCTGGTTTTGTTGTCACTGAATTTGTCACTCAGGGTTAGTGATTGTTTTTTCTGTATATTCATTTCAAATTTAGCCTTTTCAAATTGTACTACTGAAAAACCACAAGCGTAATTTTGTTCTTTCTCAACAGTGCTGGCTGCTCCGATTCTGTCTGTTCATTCTCCGAGTTGTGACTCCATTGCAGTGAGCTGGAAAGCTGTGCATATGGCAGCTGGGTTCTCTGTGTCACTCATGAGATCAGATGGCTTGGGCAGAATGCTGAAGCAGAACACCACCAATACCTCCTTGATATTTACAAATTTAGATCCAGGAACTCTCTATACTATCAAGGCTTATGCCTGGAATGCCAATGGGATGCCTGGAGATGATTTCACGTGTAACCAAAGAACAAGTAAGAAATTTTCTTTTCTGAAACCAAGTCAGCATTCCAAAAACAACACAGCAACAATATACCAGAAAGTATTTATGTGTATGTGTGATTGTATTATGTTTTTCAAAGATCCATTGAATAGATTTTCAGATCATATTTTTGCCCCATCTCAAAGTTTATGAAAGCTCAGATGACATGGCTGTTTTAGTGAAATGACTGAGGCAAAGATCCCATTTACTGTCCACTACAGTTGTACTTAGGATAGGTCTGGATACAGGCTACACAAGGTCAGACTGATTTTGAGGGTTTTTCTAGTTGTGAGAAGCAAATACTCAATCGGGGAGTTTCAGCAGTGGTCAACTAGAACTATTCCTTTTTAAAAATGTAATTTTAACATGAATGAGGGTAAGGTTTGCACCCCAAAAGCATTTAGTTTGCAAGTTGTGAAAGAGATCATGTCTGTAGGCCATAATCTAAGTTATATTTATGTGTTCCAAATTGATATACCATAGGTCCTGATGCACCAGTGGATGTTAAAGTAGCTTTCAATAGTGGTGCTTTAAGAGCTGTTGTCTCTTGGATGCCAACAGAAGGAGCTCTAACTTACAGTGTCACAGTCTTCAGTGGACTCCTGAAACTGAAGTGTAACACATCTTCTGCCTCCTGCGTAGTGCCATCCCTCCAGTGTGGCTCTGAATACTATGTGTCTGTCACAGCATACAATGATGCTGGATCCAGTGAACCTACTGATGCAGTAAGCTTAAAAACTGGTATGTGTCACTGATTCTTATGTAGCTTAGGGCATTTTAACATCTACTTCTTTAATTTCAAGTGTAAATGAGTCCATTGCAACTCACAGGTGATTCTCAAATAGTTCTGCTTCTGCCCTTTGTTCGTGAATTATGCCATATATTTTTCTATTGCAGGAGTAAGAGCCTAAACATTCTTTGTATTTCTGTGACAAGAACTTGCAGTGGTAGAAGAAATTTGTGAGGAAATGGCATTAAGGACTGCCTGAGCATAAAACTATTCTGGGCCACGTCCAGTTGTTAGAAAGGGGTCAACAAAAGCACATTCAGCCAAAGTAACACCACTAGACTAAATTAAGAAACCATCAACCATATTCAGGACAGGAGCTTGCTCAGTTCAGCTACAGCACCGCTGCCATGTCAGAGATTGTTTCCTGACCTGTTAGATGTGGCTGTGTAATCAAAATCTAAACAATTTATTTTTCTTATATGCTACTTGAAATACACAACATTATTTACTTATTTGATGTAAGCTGCCTCATTTTGACTTTTGATAGGAGTTGGGAGATCAGTCATGTGATCAACTCTGTGGTACACCTAACAGGATGAGAGAGCCTTATGCAAGAGACAACCATCAATCTGTGGGCTGTAATCTCAGCCAACGCTGCTTCAGCTAGATCATGTACATTCATTCTAATAGCAGCAAGCTGTGCTTTACTGAACTAGAAAGAGAGTAAATGTTATTTAAACAATAGCCATGGAGTTTGCAGTTTAATGGGGCATTTTGGAATGCCAACAGAAAGGAAACCTAAGCAAAGGACAGTTCTACTCAGACACAGACAGTAAATGTTATACAAAAATATAAAGGGTTTTATACAGAAATATAGAGGCTTTTGGATGCCAACTGCTATTCATGCTAGAATTCTAATTGTTATCCAAACCTACTATTTGTGAACACAACTGTGCCAGTTCCTTTTGAAATATTGCCTGGTGCCACTGTTTTTGTTCAGAGGGCTCCTTAAGCAGATGTTTCTGTAAAACATGATGGTAACATCCATTTTGTTCTGTAAAAATCATATCTACTTGTCATCTAAATATAAGCAGCAACCTCTGTAAAGGCTGCTAAGTTGCTGTTTTCTTGATCAAGACAGAGCAACTGTTCAAGCTGAGTAGAATAATTCTGTATATCCCTGATTTTCCTTTAATCCCAAGAGTATAACTTCAAGAAAGAAAAAAATAATTGTATTGAGAATTTTTTCCCTTTTTTACTATGTTTTTTCAGTTCCTTGTGCACCAGTAAACATCTCAATTGAGGAGGATGAACCTGGTCACTTGCTGGTATCGTGGTCTAGTGTCAGTTTGGGTCATTATTATGTGGTTTTTGTGAAGAGTGATGATGGCTTGGAAGTGCACTGCAATACATCATATACTCAATGCCATTTCCAGTCTGACTGTGGTTTCACTTACTTCATTAGTGTCTTTGCATATAACAAGGCAGGGCAGAGTCCTTTAGGTGATGTATTCAATTACACTACTGGTAAGTAGCCATGTATTCCTGCAAATTCATTTGGATCCTTCAATTGTATTTGTGGTAGAGCTATTTTGACATTTTTATGGGAAGATAATGACTTAAACTTCTATTTTTATTCGGGTTTTGGGCATAACACACAAAGGTTGGCAGAGAAAAAGAAACAATTCACATTGCAATTAAACTTAACTTGCATAGTCAAGTGCAATAACGTGCGTACAAACTTGAAAACAGTTTAACAATTCACAATCATCAGGCAAGGACATATGAATAGTACACAGACCTGGCGTAACATTTTGAACTCTAGTCCTGTCTGGATTTGGTTCTTTTTTAGTTTTACCTCAGGAAGAGTGTTCCAAAGACTTCAACTTCCTCATAGGGAGTTTTCATACTTAGAAAATGAAAAAAATAGTAAGTTCAACGGGAAATTGAGAAGAACATTGTTATTTAATCTCTAGACCTTTAAAATTTTAAACCAAGGACATACATAATTCCAGTGTCTGACCTAAACACTAGTACATCCTCTATCGATTTGGAAGGAGTACCGCTGGATTAATTTAATAAGTAAATCCGGAATTCATTAGACTGTTTGCACAGTACTGGTCACCTCTGGAGAAGACATGAAGCACAGAGGTAAATGAAACAAAGCTCTTATTTGCACCAGTTTTCCACTCCCCTTCGGGTTTCCTTGTCTCCCTTTTCTGTTCGCAGCTCCTTGTTGCCCCAGTGACTTCAGGGTTGTGTTCATGTCCAGCGACACGGTGCGGATCACCTGGGCTCCTGTGCGAGGCGCTGACCTGTACGAGACCCGAGCAGCGGGTGGCAGCGGCGTGGTGCTCTGCAGGGACACGGCCACGGCCTGCACCCTGTCGGCTCTGCAGTGCAGCACCCCCTACAACATCACCGTGTACTCCTTCAGCGAGGCCCGGGGCAGCAACACCTCCTGTGCGCCTCAGCACGTGGCAACAGGTAGTGTCATCACTCATTTTCCTTCCGCTGAAGAGATCAGTGTTATACACCACAGTGATTCGTGCATAAAAAACGTGGAGAAAATTAGTGGAGAGCTAAGTTACTGTTTAACTGTTTTACTAAGTTTGGTTTTTTTTAAAAAAACCAAAAAAAACAGCAACTCCAAAACTGAAAGTCCTTAAGAATACACTATAAGAAGGATATCAAATTTGTATTGAAAGCTTCTTATAGCTCCAGTATTTTGAAAATCAGAATTACAATTTATACACAAAATCCTTAAGTTGTCTATTCTGTCACATTTTCTAAGTTCTCACCAGGAGTAAAGCATATAAAGATCACATACTTTTCCAAAGTAATTTGTCGATTCTAACTGGAATTCAGTTTTCACATGTAACTTATATAGTATGCATAAATGATCTGTTTAAATACTATTAATATGAAATATTTCAGCTCCCTGCAGTCCTGAAATTAAAAATATTTCAAAGGAGGGTCTATCTGTAATCAGTGTGCAGTGGCAACCTAACAATGAAGAAGCTACGTATGTTGTCACTGCCAGAGGAGAGGCTGGACTTTGGCATTGCACAAGCACCAGGAATTCCTGTACCCTAATGGATCTTCCCTGTGGATCTGCTTTCTCTGTAAGTGCTATAGCAAGATCACCAGCAGGACAGAGCTTACCAAGCTACAGTATCCCTTTAGAGACAGGTATGGGGAATTGTGTATAGTTCTACATACTTAGCATAAAATTAAATGGTTTTGGCTATTTTGGCTATTTTTTATTTACAATATGTGCACACTGTACTATGTATTGCTGGATGTCCTCTTCGTAAACCTGTCTATCTTTGTGTGTGTGACAAGGAAGGGTCATTTGGCACTTGCCTCAGACTGAGAGGGCTTAGTGCAACCAATTATCTTCTGGCACAGCTAACTAAAATGTAATAACATAAGCCACTAATGTAATGCATAACTTCCTTGTCAACATTTTGATATTTAGTATTACCAGGAGAGGCAATGAGGTAATGTCCATTTCAACAAATAAGCAGTGTGAAGAACAGATTAAAACACATCCTACCCACTATTCCTGCTATTAGTTTGCTGACAGGTTTCTGTCCTCTGTCACTTCTCCAGACAATCCCCAGGCCCAGTACACCAAGGTCTATTTTTAACAGGCAGTTTGGCTGCAGTCATATTACATTGTAGAGAAAAAGACTTCAAACAGAGACAGAGCTGGACTGAGATAAATGACTTGAGGGGTAGAGATGGACCCTGCTTAACTAAACTACAGATATACTCTGTACTCTGATATTCTGATGAAAAATCTTAGTAATTTTTAGAATCTTGGTGAACAATCATTTTATAATAATTCCACGGTTCTAACACACAGTTAGAGACAAATTGATCTTATATTGACATTCTGTTTATTAGACTCTTGCCAGCAGAGACAACTATTTTTCAGCATGCCTGAAAAGTATGCACTTTTTCATTCCTTTACTCTTGATCATGTACTATTCTACCTGCAACCCTCCAAATACCTTCCATTCTTCAGGTACAAAACGGAATTCACTTCTCTTTTCTTGTTCTCTTTCAGCTCCTTGTTGTCCTAATGACCTGATACTAGCCCAAGTGACACAGTCGGTGACCAATATCAGCTGGTCTGTTGGGAGGGGTGCACAGACATATGTAACAACACTGGAGTCTCCAAAAGGACAGGCAAAGTGTCACACACTTCAGACCTACTGTCTCCTGGGATGCATCACTTGTGGCACCAACTATACAGTGTCTCTGAGAGCCATTAGTGAGACAGGTTTGACATCCAGCTGCACCTATCAGGGATATTCTTCCAGTACGTAAAGTTTAAATGCAATTGGGAAGAAAAACACTCAGTATACAATGTACTTTGTGTGGTGTTCCTCTCATAAAAATAGCACAGCTGAAATTCAACACACAGCTAACACACCAGCTGTCTAACACACCAGCAGTTCCCTCTTTAAATAAATGCACTTCAGAATACTTTCATATAATCAAGACCTGTTCTTATGACAGCCATCAGCTGGCCATATAAAGAAGGTCTAATAATATTGCTCCAGAAACAGTTTTTAATTTAAATTATGCTATGGCATAATTAAATTTTAGAGACCTCAAAAGGATTCTGGGCACTCTAAGGTAGGTCTTATGTCAGGTGAGAGCAATATTTCAACATGTAAAACAATGACTGAACTCCAGCCCCATAAAATGACTCTAATAAAACTTTTCTCTCCTAGAGAGAAATTATTCAAGAATTATTTTGGCTTTGTGAAATAATAATTTTCTCCTTGAAATGCTGGTAATCATAGTAATCTGGCTTAAACTGCACTCTAGAAATTTAGAAGGCATTGTGAGTTCACAAAATTTGCTCATTAATGTTTACTTTCTTAGGTGCTTGCTGCCCTTCTGGGGTGAAACTCTACAGACTCAGCAACAATGGCATCAGGGTGTTCTGGCGACCTTCTGATGAAACAATAAACTACAACGCTGACTTACGTGGCTCAAAGGGCAATTTCAGCTGTACCCCCAGCTCGGGTCTGAGTCACTGTGATATCACCAAGATACCCTGTGGGGATGTCTACACTGTGGTGGTAGCTCCAGTGACTGACAAGGGGCCAAAGGTCACATTTTGTCCTAAGAAAATATATTCAGGTAGAATTTAAATTTCTTTGAACCTTTTTTTTTGTCTTTGCATGCTAGATGGCTAAAATCTAATCCAAAGTTATGCAGGTAAAGGTGGCATGGAATAGAACTTTTCTACTCCAATGTTGACTGCAGAGTAAACTTTATGAGTGCAGTCTTGCAATATCTGTGATGGGAACATCACAGCAGCATTTTGGGTTTGGACATTGTTATTTTAGTTATTTACACAGGTGCCTCTTAACTGGATCACCCATATCCTGGTGAATACAGAAATGTTAATGTTCAATTGGGAGATTAGGAATGGTTAGAACATAGAAGCAAATAAATGAGCTTTTTTTGTTTTAGGCATTTTTAAAATAAAGAAACAAATCATTAACTGCAGTGAATCATACCTAAGCACATTTTTTAAGTAAAAATTGTGTAAAGGGGAAGAAATTACTTCGCCTTTCCCAAGGCATGGATTTAATCCATTATAAAACTACTGCTATCTGATGGGATTGCACAGTAGTAGAGATGGACTACATACTGCAGACTAAATATTTTCCATCTTACAACCTGACACCTAACACTTGTACCACTGATTCATGTCATTTCAGTCACCTGTTCTGGAAGCTCTGTTGGAATGGGTAAGAGCATTCATTAAAAATTCATTACGTTTATAAACTATTTTTGCATCCTCTTCAAATAAGATGCATATAGCATATAGATTTGATAGTCAAGGCTTCTGGTAGTTTCATGTAGGTTTATCTCATCCCCTCCCCCATCTTATAATGTATAATTTAAAAAACCCCAAAACCTTACCTATATTATGGCCTGCATACTATCATGCATGGTCACAACACTTACTACTCATTTGATAGCACATAATAAAAGGCAGGTTTATCTTTTATAGCCTTCCCACATCCCATTACAAATGAAGATAGGTGGCACTTCTGCTAAAAAAAAAAGTGTGGCTTATCTCAATCTATTCTAACTTATTTCTTTTGGGTTTCAGCAGGATAGTGCTTTATTTGCTTATGTAAACTGCTAGAAACAACTTCAAAAGCAGCCACTGAAACAAAAATTTCTTAAGACAGTTGCTTTTCCGTAACTGAAATTGTCTTAAATTTACAAATTCTTTTATAGTTATTTCTAGAGGAAAGAGCAATGTAAAACACATCTAGATGAAATTCTGGTTCAGATGAGGTAAGTTATAAGAATCGCAGTTCATATTACAATGTATGAATCCAACTTTTCCTGCTGATTAAATCTTTGGGATTGGAGGGAAATGCTTCACCAGTCCTGTATATCATAAGTGGTTTGTTAAAATCCACCATATTTACCTCTGAATCTCATTGTCTATTTCTACTAGCACTACTGATTTATCCTCTCCTCCATTTATAATAACCTTCTTTCACTTCATTAAGCCTTCACTTCACTATGCTGTAGTTCCCCAAAAAATCCCTTAAAATCCAAACAGATAAAAATATTCTTCAGCACTCATTTACTTTCTTCTGGTGTTCTGGACTATTTTCTGCTCCTGTCTCAGAGGGATGGCAAGAAATCATTGCTGACTTCTTCCCCCTAGGGCTGATTTCCTTTTTGCTGCTGTTCATTTACTGCTAAACTGGATGTTAACATTGTTCATAACACCATTCTCCCTAAATGTTATTTTTCAGTCTTTTTTTTCTCCTGAAGCTGGAAAGACACATCTGTGTCTAACAGCAACATTCACAGCTGCTTGAGGACTGGGAGCAGGAAAGCTGAACATCTAGCCATATCTGAGACCTAATCCAGGCAGGACCTTCTCTCATACTCCACAGTGGTTACTTTTCTAGCCGACTTTGAAAGCAAAGTTTAAGGTCAAGGGTCCCACAAACGTGTGTAATCTACAGTCTTCAAAAGCTCATGTGTACCAAGGTATCCAAAGACTACAGGGTTTTTAGCACTATTCTCAGCTTATAAAACAGACACTATCCACTCTGGGAACTGCCTTTCTTCAGAGAACACAGCAGGTGTTAGGTATCAGCCAATGCTTCTGATCACTTGTGCAAGGTCTCGTGGGAATCTCATGCTTCAATAAGTTGCTTGTAGATGGCACAAGAACTATATGCTGCTTCTTAAAACATGATCTGCATTTAGTCACAATCAAGCCTTTCTTTAGGAAACTATTTAAAACTGCCCTGCATTAGTTAACAGAAAGTTGGTTTTATTTCTCAATAAAAAAAAAAATTAAACAGCTTTCTTCCCTGAGGGTTCTATTTCAGTATTTCTTCTTTGCAGACATCATTGCCAAACACTGTCACCACAGCATGTTCAACTGGGTTTCCAGAGATCTTAAAACAACTGGTTTCTTTTAGAACCAAATTCAAGCTCCAAACTACTTCTTGACACCAAAGCAATTCTGGTAATTCCATGCTCTAATAGTAACTCTAATGTACTTCCAGCCATTCTAAACTGTTGGTGTGTGTTTTCTTAATTCTCCCTGGGGTACAGATTTTAACACCTCAATTACACACTACAACGTTGTAGTACTATTTTCATCAGCTCCTCTCCCTTCTGTCACTGAAAAGTAGTGTAATTGTATCAGAATGTATTACTTGTATGTCTGTTGGGGAAAAAAAGGCAAAAAGTTGAATAGAGGCATGATTTCAAGAAGAAAACACACTGATTTCAGCTCTAAAAAAGTGGATAGCAGGGAGGAAAAGCAACACACACTGAGCTAGATACACGCCTCCTACTGTGACACTGTGTAACTCAAGGTGTTGTTATTCAGGCATTAGACATTGTCTAATAACAATTGTCTAATGGTTAAGACTGCTGATAAGTGAAACAGCATTGACATTCACTGAGCTGATTAAAAAATTTGGTCAGGTTTGGTTGCAGGTTCTCTCCAGACTGAGGTAAGCATACTTTTATGGGTTATGCTGACTTCAGATCACAGGGAAGGACAATTAGATGTCATGTTTTTATAGATGCTGCTACTGTACTATTTACTTGACTTCAAGAATCACAAAAACCCCAAGCAATAAAATTCTCAACCAATCAGACAATAAAAATCCTACCAAAAACCCCTGAACAACCCAATCCCACAGCCTCTTGAAAGAAGACTTGAGAATCAAGAAAACTCCTGTTGAAGGCTTGGAGGTAGGCAGCATATGGATATGCTAAAATGGATGCTTTGAGAGCAGTAGCTGTGAAATCATGTGGACTAACAAATTAGGTGATTAAAACCACCTAGGCTATTTCACAGCAGCATTATTTAATGCTTACTTAATAAAAAATTTAAATGCGGTGCATAAAGATGTATTAGTTGGAATTACACAAGTATGAACATCAGCAAAAAAATCTGTATATATTATTTAAAATACACATTGTCTTTAATTGCATCTGACACAGAAGTAATAGCTCAAAACTTAGGTTTTCAATCCACTGAAGGATCTGGCAAAAATCCACCTTCATCTCATTGCAGACTTGACCCAGTTTTACTGAGATTTAGTGTTCTACCACATCTAACTATTGCTGGTGAAAAGATAAAATGACAACCTCATTGCAAAACCTCGAGAGGCACTTAAATGCTGTTTTACCCTGCTTAATAGTTGGTGGTCATCTATACCTAAAGCTACATGTGCTTCACAGTGGGGCAAAGGGCTCAAACATCTAAAGCCAGCAGAATTCATCAAATTCCTTCAGGTTCCCCTAAAGAGGGGAACTTCTATGCTGTAGGAGGTTATTATTAATAATATTACTATTCCAGTACTTAGCATTGGAGCCACAGGAAATTTCCAAGACAGATGAAGCTTCACAAGGATAACTATCCCAGCCAGGCTATTATGGACACATGGCATGCTATGGAAACTTTGGGTTCATAGTGCTTCGGTCAGTCATTTACCCTGAGAACTGAAGAATGAGTGCAGAGACTGTGAGACAACAGCTCTGCAACCAGAGCTCCTCCAGCTAAAATGGGCAGAAATTTTCTTCTAATGCCCCAAGATGAATGTCCAGTGCAGCTGTACTGCACTGCAACAACTGCACCAGAGTGGGCAGCACCAGCAACTCCACTCACCTCTGCTCATCAGAGCTGCTTTCACAGCCCTGCAGCTTCTTCTGCTTTTTAAGGAAGGGCACATGAAATACAATGGCATCAGAAAGACAAGAAGGAATTAAGAGACCTTGGATACAAACTGAAGAGCTGTATGACAGTAAATCCCAAGGATAATTTTAGACAAATGTCTTGGTTCAAGTAATTTTCACAGTTATTGGTTGGCAGTGAGTACTGCACTCTCCATTACACTAACTCAAGTACATATCGATCATACTAAATTCAGAAGTCAAAAAGGACTACTTATAAAATAGGAAAATAAAAGCAGAGTCCTAAAATTACCACACTTGTAAAGAGATATTGGGATGGGCCAGTCTTTGCACAAGCTGTATCAAAATGTCCATCATCTTTGTTGTAGTGAGACAGTGCTTGTCCATGCTCAGGTCAAAGATTGTCTCTCAAATACCTGCATTTTTTCCTGCAAATAAACCATTACTTCACTGTATTACCCAACAGTCTCAGAAGAGGAGGAAGAGCCCTGAAGGAACACCTGGAAATCAGTAATCCATTTTCCCTGACAAACACTGGTTCTGCAGCCTCTCTGCCTAAGAACATATTTGTTTCAGAAACTGAAGGTTAAAAACAAGGCCAAAAGAAGCCCTCTAGACACAAACAAGATAAATTAAAGTTGTCCTCACTGTTTGGACAGAAGCCATGCAATCCCTTGGCAGACTGCAGAGACAGTTCTAGTAATCCACTAGACAGGATATTTCTTTTCTTCTCCAATCTTAAATGAAAGCTCAGTATTTTAGTTTTACGCTGCAAGGGAATGAATTTGTTGAAGCTTAAGTTTTGTTACAAGCTCAGTTTTAAAATCAGGTAACAAAATATAAGCAGACAACCTCACTAACAAAAAATATTGATAACTAAGGATCATGGAGATAAAGGATATTACAGTTGAGAAAAAAGGAAGAGCTGGGAGGAAGAAAAGAAGTTTGCTTCTTGGAATACTATGGAATGAAGTATACTATTGGAAGTCAAAACACTGTTTTCCCTGGATGTTTAAAATGAAATATGCCTAGATGACCTGCATCACACAGAAGCAAAAAAAGGCACAAATATTTTATTTCTACCCTCAGGTTACTTCATGACTGATTCCCACTTCATATTCTTCCTATCTTGGCGCTGAAGCATTTCTTTTGTTTGCTACATCTTTGTTGTAACTTACTTATTACATAAAATCCCTTATTCATACCAAGTGTCACTTGATCTGAAAATAAAATGTGGAGGAACTGAAGCACTCTTTAACTGGCAATGAACGTGCAGGGAAAAGCTGACACTCAATACAAAGGAATTAATGAGAGTTTATTCCAGATGGTTCTCCTCACTTAGTATACAAGTCATCAGAATAATCTATGGACTTTAATGGTATGATCTTTTGCTATAATGCATTTTGGTTTTTGCTTCTAACAACCTGTTTAAAAAAAAATCTGCCAGATGAAATGTTCAGCACAAACTGTGATCTTTACTATTTGTAGAAAATATGAATTAAAAAAGGACACTATCAGTTAATTCTTATTTTAAATGTTTACACTTATAAAAATGCTTTGGAAGCTTGAAACTGAAATCCTTTGTAATATTTTTCTTCTTCCTACCTCCCTCTTCCCATCTTAAATGCCTTTATTAGCCCAGGATTATTATAAATGACAGAGTGCAGCTGCTTAAAAACATTAAAGGACCACAAATGCATAAACTGTGTTTAAAAAAAGAAAAGGAAGCTTACATGGATTTTCTTCAAACAAATAAAATGCATAGATGGCTACGGTACTCATCCGTCAACCTTTACAGTGTCCGCTTGAGGTAGCCTTTCTACAGAATTACTAAACAAGCCCCAACATAATCTAAATCCTTGCATCAAAACCACTATCTCTGAAAGTCCACTCAATTTAACACCACTGGTGATCAACATAATACATTTTAAAAGCTTTGGACAAAACAGCAGGTACAGTGGACGTAAATGTTAGTTCTAAATCTGCAGCCCTCAATGTACATTGTACGCACATAAATATCTCAGCTATAATACACATTCCAGATCCATCCCTAAAAGCCATACTATTATGGAAAGCACAGCCATGCTAACTTCAGGATACAAACCATAATTCCACGTCTACAAACAGAAAGTATAATTAGTGGCAGTTTATTGCCTCATACAAATTTAACCAACATGGCAACCATGCCAAAGGAATTAAAACATTTTCAGGACATATGTACAGACTGTACATTTCAGAAACATCTGAACAATAAAAATGCAAGAACAATCTCCGCATTACAAATTAAACTAAACAAATGGTTTGAAACCGTCAATGCATTGAATGGGTTTACAAAGGCACTTCCCTACCCAAAATAGGAAATGACAATCTGCAGCCTAGAGGGAGGTTGGAGAAGAGTGCTCATCAACTACTGCACAATCTCAACTTTAAGAAAAAATAAGCAGGATTTAATCAAACATTTATAGGATTCAATGTGATCCACTTCTGAAAGAATTCACACAGTCTCATCTTTGTTTTTCTGTTGCTTTTCTTGGCTCTCTCGTTCTGTACTTTGGCTCCTTCGACGATCATGTTTGTCAGAATGGTCCTTGCTATCACTGTGATCATGTTTGTGGGAACGTTCTTTGCTTCTGCTACGCTTCCTGGGTTTTTCTTTGCTGGGACTCTGATCTCGTTTTCTGGACTTCTCAACACTATCTGTTCTTCCTCTGCTCCTGCTTCTACTTCGTTTATTTGACTTCTCCTTATTTTCATTTTTATGTTTACTTGATTTTTCTTTGCTCCTGCTTCTGCTGCGCTTACCTGTGTTCCTGCTTCGGCTCCTACTCCTATGCTTTCTTTCCCGGCTTCGACTTCTACTATGCTTTCTCTCTTTTTTGGAATCCCTCTTGTCGTCACGGTGTTTCTTCTCATCTTTGTCATCCTTGTGTCTTCTCTCCTCTGTGTCACCCTTACTTTTCCTTTCTTTTGACCTTTCTCTAGATCGATCTTTTTCCCTCTCACTACCTCTTTCCTTATCATGATCTCTCTCTTTTTTCCGACTCCGTTCATTTTCTTTCTCTCTCTCCCTATCCCTGTCTCTTCTATCTCCTTTCCTGTCACGACTTCGACTCCGGCTTCTGTATCTGTCCCTGCTTCTGCTTCGCCTCCGTTCTAGTGAGCGATCAGTGCTTCGAGATCTCCGCCGTTCCTTTTCTCTCTCCTTTGCTTCGCGTTCT